CTGCTGGACCCAGTTGAAGGCGCTGCTCATAGCGTTTCAACACATTCTGCGGACGCTTGCCCTCAAAGCGACGAGCATGATAACGGAGCCTCTCAGCATAGGATTTTGGAGACATGGCAAACTCTAACGTTCTTGGTTTGCAAGTAGGAGTGAGAAAAGGCCCCCTTGCAATTAGCCATAATATGCCATAATTACTTGTTGCGGTGATGCTGAGATTCACTCGTATTTTGGGCCGACGTGTATGTGCGTACCTAGATTCCAACTGTGCAACATGTCCACCTTTTGCCAAACAAACGAGTTCTTGGTTTCGATGAGCTTGAACAAAAAGTTGGTTGACAAGTGAGCACTACCTGCCGTGATGCGGATGATGCCAACATCTTAGGCACAAGAATTCGTGGATGTTTCCTACCTGGCAGTGGGTCAAAGCGTAGTTAGGCCGCATATCCGCAGGTTTTGTGAACTGGATACTTACTCAACAGCTGGGCATGTTGACCAATACTCAATACTCAACTGGTGCTTGGTCCCGCGAGCGTAGTCTTGATCCAAAGGGCTGCAAAGCAGTCCCAAAGACCGATGAACCTACCTGGGATCTTGGTCCTGGACCTACTACTCTGGGACTCCAGAGTTGGTGATGTCCTGAATTTGCGGATTCGGGATATCTTTAAAGAAGATTCCAGAGGTCTGATTGGGAGTATTAAAAAATCACCTGATCAGCAAAACCTGGGTGATTGGATTGAGCATTTCTTGAATCGATTCGCTGCATCTTCAAGGCTTTGATCGATTCACTGAGCTTTTGTGTGAAGCTGAGCTCTCCGGGCTACGATGCTATGAAGCTTATAGGCCTAGGCCCAGGCCTCATGGGACCACATCTATATACTCCAAAGAAACTGAGACATCCACCCACCCCTCAGACCTGCTGCCCAAACCACGACCACGACTCGTTCCGGTCGTGGTCAGACCGTGGAACGACGACACGTCCTGGGCCCGTCACTCGCCGCCGTCGCCGTTCCGAGGCGCCAGGAAGGAGTTGCTCGCTCCACAGGCATCGGAGATGTCATAGCCCAAAGCCGTGCAGTTGGAGGCTAAGGTGTCGAGACCCAACGTAGACCAGTATGGACAACAGCTCTGACCTGGGAGACGTTTGAAAGGCAAGAAGGTCGTTGAGGGTCGGTGATGACTTCGAAATTGAAGGGAAAACGAGCTGCAAATGCCGTTCTGGAAGCAACGGTAAGTAGATCATCTATAGCTGGACCCTCCGAAAGTACTGTTCATTAAGAAAAAATCGGACCTGGCCCAAGAAGAGTCAAGGCAGTTGATCCAAAACAGTAGACTCAGTAGACTAAACGTCAGAAAATATGTTACATGTTTAGTTATTAATACTGGTTATATCTGATTATTATAGCTGGTATACAGCCAGGAAGAGGAGCTTGTCCTTTGAACTGGCCACCTGGCACTTCTTCCATTGCCTGTTGAAACCTTCTGGCCAGTGGCGGTCATGTTCCATCTGTGAGGTCATGTCTGTCTTGAAACGAGAGATTCAAGCGGGACGCTGGGATATGCCAAGCTGCTTCAGGTGTCAAAAAATATGTCTTGACATGTCTTGACACACACCCAAACCAACACGTGCCAAACAAAAACATGTTGTGAAACTCTATAAAACCCAAAACTGCATTTAATGACAAGATGCTCCGCATGCAGAAAGGCGTCCGTTTCCTGGGTACATTTGTGACAATGCCGGAATAGCGAGAAATTCATTGGTCACATAAACCACCTGGATTCTTTAGATTTGCATCAGTGAATCCATCTTGAACTGGTACAAAAGTAATACGGTCACAGTCGTACAGCAGCAGCAGCAGCAGCGGCCGCAGCAGCAGTTGGAGAGCTTTGGATGCGTTTTGGGCGATGGATTCGGATGATTCCCGGTCCTCTCATGTCCTGTTAGAGATAAGGCCACAAATGAGGCGCTGGCATTGTTGAACTACCAAACAAGCTTGACCTTCAGGTGTGATCTGTCGACCTGAGAATCTTTTGGAATGATAGATTGTCCATTCAAGGAAGTCTTATGTTCCTTAAATAAGGGAACACCCTTGACTTGGAAGCACCCACCAGCCCTAAAGGCCCCAAAGCAAAAGTCCTTCTCATGGCACCCTGCCTGTCTTAGCGCCATACATGCACAGACTAGCCTCTCATCTAAGACCACCAAGACTTCCAGGCTCTTTGCAAAGTTTCTTCAGAAAAAATGGAACATGCTAGAATTGCCAGAACCCCCATCTTGCCCCACCCCTCGCCAATCTCCACGCACACATGCCCGGACTGTTCAAAGGCAGGACAAATAAATACTCCTTTTGCCCGGGGACTGGAGTGCCCTTGAATACTTATGCTGCATACTGCATACCTGCAAGAGATGCATTTGCTTTCCCACCAATGTGAGGTCTATGGAAAGCTTTTTGAACAAAAAAGTGGAACCATAAGGAACTAAATATGGCACCAAAAACGCCCAGTGTCAGACTCGTGCAGCTCGCATTGTTGGCCTCTGCGCCAACCAACCCAGGTGCACAAGTCACGCGGCATTGCCTCGGGGCTTCGGCGGAACAACCGTGGACGAGCGTTTGTGGGATGAGTGACCGATGGTCGAATCGCTCGCAAAACCGCCTCCAGGACGTTATTTTTTTTCAAAAAAAAAAGAGGGGAACGAGCTGAAAGTGGGTATAGTCTAGAGACTGGCAGCTGAAAAGTGTCCAGTTCACCCCTGTTCACCGGTGGCTTTGGGTAACGCCACGTCTTACATCGACCGCCACGTGCAAGCGGTCTCGGTAGCGGTCTCCACATGCAAGCGGGGCCCTGCAGGTCAGGAACTGACCTCATTGGAGTTGGTTGGGATCACCTTTTTTGACCTTCAAGCAGCCGTCGGTCGAGCCGGTAGCCTCTGTGCACCTAATTAAGGGATGGTGGGATCAAACAACACCATTCCGGTAGCGGTCTCCTGTCCCATATCCTCAGTGGTTCGGCGGTTAGACCCACCATCATCTTCTCAGCAGGCTCCTGTCCCATAGGGCTCCTGTCCCATATCCTCAGGTGGTTAGACCATGTTAGACCCACCACCATCATCTCAGGAGGTAGGAGGTAGGCCTGGAGCCCTAGGGTATATGAAAAAACACAGTATACTCAAGGAGGTTTTCAGGACCAACTGGGTCGGACCGGCAAATGACCCCTTCGAACTTGAACAGATCGGTCACTTGAACAGGGGGGGTTCTTCAAATGCCATGTGACCAAGGGGACCTGTCCAATCCTAAAGCCTAAGTGAACTTCTCTCTTGATAGGAGAACAACAAACATGCAGCATCTTTTGGGCGGTCTACAGATCATATCAGATCATCAAATGGCTGGCTTCGGGCCTCATCTCTTCACATCACGCGTTGCTCGGTTTCTCGTTAGACCCACCGATGTCACCAACCGCAACAACAAAACGTGCCGACAAATCGTCCGAAGGGTCACTCGCACAAACACGCGTGAAAAGTAGAGTGAACCGCAGGAAAGACATGGAAACACAACCATGAACCAGAAGTCACAAAGGGGTGGTGTTTAGTCCCCAAGTGAGTGGATAATGAGCAGCCCTAACCTCCATTAAGCACCCCTTTGTGACTGCTGGAACATGCAACAAATCTGGCAACAGTCCAAGGTGCGCTTCCATGTCGTTGGTGCACCTCGCCAGGGTGCAGCGAAACCGATGGATGGATGTGTCCGCTAGTTTGGTGGTGCCAACGAATGATTCTGGTCGATGGAGGAAGTACTGTTAGTCCTTTCTTTTTGGGTTACGGATAGAGAGGATAGTGAAAAATCAGCTGAGCTCAAGACTCAAGACACGTGATGTGTTTTGTGCTGGTCGTGTCAACTTTTGGAATGGGTTGGAGAATCCTCTGAACTCAAGATATATTTGTGTCATGTAGCACTCGTGGATACAAAGCAATTAACATGTTCATCCAAGAGTCCAAGAACTTTCGCTGGAAACAAAAGAATCTCGGCCTGGGCGGCCTGGGTTTACCTGGAAGAATATTCATGGAAGCGGAACATGGCCCCTTGGATGACCATTTTCCTCTACTAACAGGGGATTGTCCACTTCCTTGATTGTTCCAGGGAGTGTCAATTCTCGATCTCAAATTCCACTTGTCGCAACACTGAGGTCTCTCGTTTTGAGTGGCTTCGTCTGACGGACAATGTCTTTCGTATTTGAACTGACACGCCATGCCACTGTCGGGCTTGCGATCAATAGAAAGTCAAATGGCTTTTCAGTGGATCCAGCTATGAGTGCATCCAGCTATTACTATTATGTAGACAAAAACTATTCAGGTATATGAAAGATAGTCAGAAAACCATAGACAAAATCTATGGTTCTAGGAACCTATTGGGAATGGTCATGGGAAATATATAGCCACCAGAAAGCCGTGAAGTCAGGGAATGGAACCAGGCGGACCAACCGACACCATAGATTCCTCAAACCCTTAGGTCATCAGTGAATTCAATTACTGATAAACCTAGACCTCTTCCACCTCGTCGTAACTGGGGATTCGGGATCCAGGAGATTTCCCTGGACACCCAGACCAGTCCCGTGCATCCGCGTTGTCATCGATTTTGGAGTTCAACATCCAAATGACCAAAGGTGTTGTGAATTGACACAGTCCCTGTGACCCTTGGATGCTCTTTGATACGTCTTCGTCTAATCCTGTTCCTAAATGAACCTCTCCCATTGTATCCAACTCACGAAACCATGCATCAACAAAACGTGTGTTCCCAAGAAAAAAACCATGGAAAAACCATCCACTTCTGACGCACCAACTTTTCCGAGAAACGGATCCTCCACAGTGTAGCCGCCGGTGGCGCAGCTGTCGATGCTGCCAACGATGGTACCCTGTGCCTGGATGGTGGATTGTTCAGCCTCTACGCTTGATGGAAGAACTGGTTCCTGGTTTCCTGAAACCCAAAACAACCCATTAACATATAGTATAAAAGTTCTTCAATATCATTGTTTCCAAAAAATGGTGTCTCTTCGATTGCACAGAATGCTCCGTGATGGGCCAATCGCCAACTTTGTTGTGCAAGAGTTCATGAATGACCTATAGTTTGGGTATATCCTAATACCAATAAGAACGGTGGATGATTATGGTTAGTAAAGGCCTTGCTCAATGTCAATAATCGTGATAGTTATTGTTTACTGACTGTTGGAGGTACTAGGACAAGCCCAACCTATAGTCATAGATAGATGAAAAACATGACTCAGTTGAACCATGTTCACCAAGGTCTTGGAAGTGACGGACTGACTCACCACCAGTCACAGGGAACAAATCGATGAAATTGTGCACCAATCACAAGGAAGAATAAACACATGGACAAAACGCACACCGTGTATGCCATATTTGGGGTGGCTTGAGGAGTCAATCTCACACATGTCAGTCATGTTCACTATACATATTTCACGCCTTCCTGGAGTTTTTGGAGCTTGGAAAAACCAAAGCCTTGCACCAAAATAAACAGTCCACACTTGGGTCCAGTGCGCGTCCACAGCGGCAGCGGTGGACAGTCGGCACAGCACAAAAACGTGTTGCTCATCCAAACTCTGTGCAGGAACTAGGGAACACCCAAGTCCCTTTCAGTGGCTTCGTCAAGTCATTCACCGTACAGATAGGTCGGTGACCACAAAACTCACTCAGCATAACACGGATCCCAACCAACACATCACACGGCCGCTTGGGGCGGTGCCACCCGGGAGGAGGCTCATTTTGGAACACACAAATTGGCTCAATTTGGAACACACTGGTCTTGTCCGTTTGGGCTCATTTTGGAGCACAAAAATTGGTTCATTTTGGAACACACGCAATAGTACATCTGCAGGCTCCACGGCGGGTGTGTGGAGAAAGGGGGTCAGCTAAAACCGTTTGTGCGAACTTCCTCCAAAACGTGCCCTCCGGTGGTTCACAAAAGGTGTGCGCCGCTGGAATGGCATCTCCCTCCTCTAAATTTTGCCTTCGGTGGGTCGCGCAGGGTATGCGGCGTGGGAATGGCACCTTCCTCGTCTAAATTTTGATCCTTGGGTGGCTCACCGTTGGAATGGCACATGTGGTGTATACAAGGTATGCGCCGTGGGAACGGCACTGTCCTCCTCTAAATTTCACCCTCGGCTGGGTCACAACATGCATCGTTGGATTGGCACATTCCTCCTCTAAATTTTGCCATCGGCTGGGTCACAACAGGTAAGCATCGTTGGATTGGCACATTCCTCTTCTAAATTTTATCGTCGGGTGGCTCACACCTAGGTTTGCATTCCTCCTCTAAATTTTTCCCTCGGGTGGCTCACAAAAGGTATGCACCGTGGGAATGGCACCCGCATCATCCAAATTTCACCCTCGGCTGGGTCACAAAAGGTATGCATCGTTGGATTGGCACATTCCTCCTCTAAGTTTAGGGAATGGAACCTTCATCCTACTGGCACATTCCTCTCCTCTTCTAAATTTCACCCTTGGGTGGGTCACAAAAGGTACGCGCCGTTGGGAAGGCACCTTCCTCATTTAACATGTTGTCCTTGCGTGGCGTACAAAAAGGTATGCGCCATTGGCTCAAAAGCATATTGCCGGGTGGCTCACAAAAGGTCCGCACCATTGGACTGGCACCTTCCCTCCTCTAAATTTCATTCTCGGGTGGCACAAAAGGTATGCATCGTTGGATTGGCACATTCCTCCTCTAAATTTTACCCTCGGGTGGCTCACAAAAGGTATGCACCGTGGGAATGGCACCCGCCTCATCCAAATTTCACCTTCGGCTGGGTCACAAATTGTATGCATCGTTGGATTGGCCCATTCCTCCTCTGAATTTTATCTCGGGTGGCTCACAAAAAGGTATGCGGCTTGGGCCGTAAAATTCTATTCTCGAATCCCCACCAAAGCTTTGCACCGTTGGAATTGGACCTTCCTCCTCCACATTTTACCCTCGGGTGGATCACAAAGGTATACACCGTCGGACTGGCATATTTCATATGCCTCCTCTAAATTTAACCTTGGCCCACAAAAGGGGTGCTATGCTATGTTGTAGTGTCTCTATCTAGGTACGTATGTTCCAATGTTGGGTTCGTCTGCGTCACTGGGTCTCCATGTATGTGCGTCTGGTTGTACGTGGGTATGTACGCATCTCTCTGACCATGGAAGTGAATGTGTTTTATGTGACCAGAGTTGTGGCGAGGGATGTGATGGTACAGTTGCGGGAGAGGGGGTGCGGGGGAGGCGCTGCGGCCTCCCCCGCAGGGGGCGAGCGAAGCGAGCCCCTGTGAATGACTACGACTGTCACGCGTACGGCTGACCAGGGCAATGTGTCTCTATGTATGTACGTATGGCTGTACGTTGGCATATACGCATGTCCATGTCCATGGAATCAGATGATAATGATCATTGGAATGGCACCTTCCTCCTCTGAAGTTCATCCCACTGGAACGACACTTCCCCTTCTGAATGCTACCCTCGGGTGGCTCATAAAAGGTATGCAGAAGAAAACACACTAGCAGAAATAAAACCACCCAAAGAAACAACCACCAGAAGAAACACAAACAACCAATGAAAAAACACCCAAAGAAAACAACGCGATAAGATAAAACACAACCCCCAGGCCCCAGACAAACACCACCCAAAGAAAGAAACCAGCAAAAGAAAAACAAGCACGAGAATAAAAAAACACACGAGCAGGAAAAAACACCACAAGAAGAAAACCACCAGAAGAAACAAACACGAGAAGAAAAACACCACCACAAGAAAACACCAGCAGAAAAAACACAAGAAGCAAAAACACATGAAGAAAACAAAAACACCAGAAGCACACAACAAAAGACGAGAGAGGAACCATCAGCTCAACCGCCCGCAAGCTCCACCGCCCGCAAGGTCCGCGTTCCAAATTGAAACAAAACGCCCGCGTTCCAAATTGAAACCAGGCCGTTTCTGCGGCTTCCCGCAGGAGAAAGGTCCAATCCAGGCCAGAGCCCGCTCAAGCGGGGCTGGCCCGTCCACGGGCCAACAGCCCCACGGGCCCGTCCACCACGGGCTCAACCGCCACGGGCCTCCGACAGGCCCGTAATGATCCTAGAAGTAGTCATGACCTCCTCCAATCCAAGCCCAACGTTATGCACTTCAACATGCAGGCCTTTTTGACCTTTAACAACACCTTCTGGAACATGGAACGAAACGCAGCCCTGTTCACCGCAACCTCTGAACCGATCCTGATTTTGGTTTCGGAACGATCGAACGGCGGCCTGTTGGCAGCAGCCAGCGACCTTGAGGCACTCGACGGCCGTGGGCAGCCGCGCGCAGAACTCCTGGGCAGCGAGGTCGCGGTGCGGCGCGGTCCGCGGCGCGGAGGGCGGCGAGTAAACCCCTTGAAGATGATGGAGAGTTCTTCTAGGATCTTTTTTTTTCAGAAACATGTGACCACATGTGATTTCTTTAAGGTACTTAGTACCCTATAGATCCTCAGCAGGTTGGATGAAAGTCACTTTGCAGTCCCCGTACGGCTTCCATGGGCCCGAGAGGATGTGCCCTGCTGACCTTAGTGGATGACTATTCTTCACGCGTTTGGGCTTCAAGTAGCCTCTGAGAAGGTCTTTGGGGTGGGGGGAGTCTAAGTACACTTGTTTGATATAATCAAGGAATAGCCTTGTGCAAATGTGCCTCGAAGCAGGTTCCAGTTGCTTCGGAAAACTGCCAAGGGTAGCGCTCTTGGAACAGTACTAGTAGTGTTTTAGGATGTTTTAGATGGCGGGCATGACAGTGGACCAGCTTAGTATGCACTGCATGGCTAAATGTATGTTGCACACATTGCACACTACAAGTTAAATTAAACATGTGTTGCATAGTTTTGTTTCTTGCTTGTTTTGATGTGTATATTGTGGTATTATGTATGTTTTTCACCTATCGTCTCTTTTCCATTTTTGTGGCATAATCCGTATTGGGAATGTATATATGTTTGCATGACTGTAGCGGACAACGACCGACCTGTCTGATCCTGTCTTTTTCGCGGGGAGGGTGAAAGAACTGCTGAAAAAAACACCATTCTTGAAGCCAAAGCAGCCAAAAAAGCAACTCAAACAGGAAGCACCGACGTTCTGACATGATCCTGCACCCATGTTGATCAGTGTTTCGGATGGCACAACCGCGGCGCCTGGATATCGGTGATGGCCACCACGGTCTGCAAGCCTATGAGGAGAAAGTGTGGTGGCAGGATGTGTCTGGGCATGAAACGCGTGGATTGGCGTAGATCGCAGTGCAACGACATGAAACCTGAAGAAACTTTCTTAGAATTCCAAGGAAGGATGCGCCCTTCCCTTCGGGTCTATGTTTTGGGGCTACTAGTGGCTAGTCCAAACATGTCGGATTCAAGCACATGGGTATGAATTCCAATGTCAAGGCCTTGTGCAACATCTTCTACTCAAAGGTTACAGGAAGTTCACCGTCCCCAGGCTGCCCGAAACAGCCCTGATCAAGATCTATTCACATCCATGGTCCCAGCACATGAATTCCCACGAACATCCGCCACGAACTCCCAATAACTCCATCTTCCTTCCTTCCTTCCTTCCTTCCTTCCTTCCTTCACCCTTCACCTCTTAGCCACGGACCTCGTCCTCTTCCTCCCCATTCTGTGGCGGATTCCCTCCGCCGTTCCCTTCTCTCCAGGCCACAGGATTGCGCGCCCACCGTGTCACAGGGCATCCCCGTGGTAGTCGTGGTGGGCGGCGTCTCGGGGGAGGCCCAAAAGCCCGGCAAGTAGCCCAGCACGTCGGCGCGCTCACCTTGAAAGAGAGCTTGATGTTCGCGGAAGCAGAAGAAGGTAGGTGAGGGGTGGTAGGTGGTAGGTCGACTGGATTGAAGTAGTGCTTCGGACTTGATGGGTGATGGTTCACCGCTGAAATGGATTGAAGGCTTAAGAATTATATAGGCCACTTGGGATTTCAAAGTCGAAGCAAGACACGTTAACTAGAATTACTTTCCTCGTGTTGGTGGTGTTTGATGCTTTTCACCCTCAGCATCTCCAACAATTTCAGCATGGTGGACAGAATTGTTTGATGCTTTCGCTGTCGCCCCCCACTTTAATTACCCATCCCTAGAAACAAACTCCCTACTCATGTCCCTCTTTGCTGCTGCGTCGCCGTATCCATTTGCCAAGGTCTCTGCCAAGCACGGTGCAATGCACCGGGGCAGGTCGTTCGGGTCATCCGCCTGACCCGTTGACCCCAACGGACGTCAGAGCGGGGCGTGTTGCGGTGTGGCGGGAGGTCCCTCCGGCTTTCCCGGTGAAGGCGACCCCGGTGCCGTGGGTCTCTTTGGGTCCTGGAAATGGATGGTGGAATGATGGTGGGATGATGTGGACCCGGACAATCCGTGGTTTTTACACTCTGAGTTGATGAACTGGAAGGGTGGTCTAGTAGGGTGGTCAACCTACACAAAAAGACTTCCGACCTTTGGTTGCCTTTGTTCCGATGGTTTTGAGAGGTGATGATTTGGCACCTGGCATCCCGTTCGATGTCTTTGGACGGATGGGGATCCAACTCACCGAACTTGGGGATTGTACCATCTACTCTGATGGGCCCACTATCGTGGATTGAGAGGACCAATGGCACAAACCCCAAGGTCGGTGGTTCATATGAACCCCCATGTAAAGGACATCTTGAGGTCTGTACCATCTACTCGGATGGCCCACTATTGTATAAGTCCAGTCTGGTATGAATGTTCAGGACAAAAGTTCTGCAACACTTCTTACATGTTGGTGAAGATTTAGCTCAGCCAAAAAGCGGAAGAGGGTAGTGTCTTGATTCTTGATGCCCCAATCACTGTGAGTCATGGCTTAACCCAGCGTTCAATCACCATTTCTACAAATCAAATCCAAGCACCAAAACAACATCTTACTCCTCTGAAGACAAAAATATATATATATATACTGTTCCTATGAATGTATATACTGGAACAACTTGGTCCTCCAGAAAACAGATGTTGTTTCAGGCTTTTCAGCTTACATGGTACTTTCCAGTGGTCTGACCCTGCTTTGAGTACTAGCCCCCTTCAGCCTCCTTTCCACCTCCAAAACACTGACCGCACCTGCCAGGTGTCATTTTGACACTGCAAACGTCCCGCGTGGGACCAGGCGAGAGTGCAATTGAAGGGGCACAAGTCCTTGGTCTGGCTGGCTGGCTGGCTTTCTTGCTTTGGTGAAGAGCCGGCTACAGCAACTTGGGGACACCGGCCACAATAGAGTCACACCACACAGAGATGAGCTAAATTGAGCTAATATCAACACAAAAATTGGGGCTTTGGCCTCTTCATTGGGCACACAAACCCATTTTGGGCGGACAGGGTCCGAGGATGGATATCAAGAGCGATGACTGGGTAACACGTCCACTGCCGACCGATAGTCCATGTGAGGTGTGGTTTCTCTAACCTAGATAATGTCCATAATCTAAGACCCGAAAAATCATGCAATTTCATTCCTTTTGCAATTCAAAGTAAGTTATAGTTATATGTTCCATATCCTTCCTGATAATTCATCCACAAGAATCTCATGCATGGATGCACCCTTATTTACATAGGTCCCAACATTTTGTCTTCATCAAACACTCCCTGCAGGCACCTATGCTGTGTGATCTACATTGGTTGGTTATAGGTTCCGGTCTGTCAAAGAAATGGATCCACTAAATATAGCTGTCAAAACTACAAGAACCGTGATTGTTCCATATTGTTACTATTTATTTGTTGTTTGCTGTCAAACAATTAAAAAACCTTTTAACTAGATGCTGATTCTGAATGCAAAGTAAGATATGGTAAGATTGTTTTTTTGGGGTTTGGTCTTGGGCATCAAGGACATCAGAAGCTGTTTACATCAACTACGTCTATCAGTCGATCCCTTTCAGGGCGACATCAATCCCAAAACGCCCTTGAACACCTTCCCAAACACCACCCCCAATGGATCGGCCAATCTGAAACCACCCCCAATGGATCGGCCAATCTGCCAGTCCCATTAGTCGTGTCTGGGCTTGGTTTGTGATGTTCCCATGTGCATTTCAGAAACCTCAGCTTCTCAGCATCCGTCCGACCAGTCTCCGAGGGACTAAATCTGCAGTTGAAGTTCCGCAGTCCTGTGCAGTGATCCAGTCTTAGGAAATCCCACATGTTGGCAGGTTTCAACCACTCCACCACTGTTTTGGAGGCCTGTTCCACCGTATTCTTTTTGTTTTTAAAGACCGCTCTGTTGGAAGGTGGTTCCTCCCCAGGCCTGGTCAATGATCTTCAACAGCTTGAAATCAGAGGATAATGCCTTTACGTGAGATGTTCTTGGTATTTTTGGATGGTTCATACTCCATGCAAAAGGGGTCTCAGCCAGCCACAAGGCTCTGGTGGTTTGGGAAGATCAGAACTGCCAGTTCCAGCTGGGGCAACATGCGATTTGATGAGATCATTGGGAATGGAGGCTAGCTGAAAGCTTCCATGCATTTGACGGCAGGGTATATGATCAGGGGATCTTCTCTACATATTGTATGGCAACATTTGGAAAATGTTGTGGATCAGCTTTTGACTGGATGCCCCGAGCTGATTGACTCACTAGTCGCTAGCTACAGTAGTAGCATGTCCAGCAACTCTTCCGGAGATTCACAAACCAAATCGAGCGCCCCGTACGAATGGGTGTTTTATTGTATCATTACTCATTACCCATGCACTCCATGCATGCAATACATATAATATCATATGTGTATGTAATATTTGTAATATTATGTAACATATATATAAAACTGTATATTCACACATGCCTGCATGATCCCTGAAACCACCGCCTGCCAATGAACATAAAAAATGTAAGTGTCTGCTGCTTGGAAAGGTCGCACTACAAACCAGCTGTCCGGTTTGATCGGTCCTGAACTGCTTCGCTGGGCAACAGGCCCGCACTTGGCACTTGCGGGCCTCATTCAGAACTCATCCGTGCTGAGCTTCCGCCATGCGTGTTTTGTCCAAAACCCAACCGGTAAGCCTTACAGGTTGGGATGGCTTGTAAGTGCAAACAAGTCCGAAAGACAGGATCAATTCACATCATGGACATGTCACGTCGACGTTCAATCGGTGAGCCTTTGATTTTACCCGGCCAACGGTTCCGGTAAATCTTGATAGGAACATCTTCTTCAGTAGCAAACCGTTTCTAACGGCCAGCGCCCACCCTCCTGAAGTTGGACGTTCCCTCCTGCAGTTGGACGGACTCAGGTTTCATTGCTCCTTTGGAAAGCAAGAGCAGCCCTGACCGACTGGAGGTCCCTAAGGCGAACGAGGTCGGATGATCCTCACCGACTTGCTCCAAGATACATACGGGACAGTCTGCTGGGGCCACTACTCCGGTGTGAGCGAAACCGTCACAAATGGTTGGGACCCGAAGACTCGGTATGGAACGAAGAAATGCACGTCTTGAGACAACTGGTTGGTGATGCTTGGTGGTTTCAACTCACTGAAGTTGGTTGGTGGTTTCAACTCATTTGAACACACATATGAGTCAGTCGGTTCAAGCTCAAGTAAAGGTTGAAAAACAAACAGCATCTCTGCAACCACCACCCAGTTAAGCCAGGTCAAAGGTTCTATGGCTGAAAGGGAGATGCCCAAAGGTTCTATGGCTGAAAAGGAGATGCAGCCTCTGCACCTGAGAAGAGGCAGCTTCGTGAGAGGTTGCTTGAGATTTTGGTCACAAATCATGGCCTTATAGTTGATGGACTAAATCCGACCACCACTATGAATATTATATATATACCATTATATACCTAGCAAGATTAGAACACGCACTGTTTTGCACAAACTCAATGTTTTCCCGGTGTACACTCTCCGGACACGAATCATGAAAGTGGCAAATGGGCTGTTGGATGACCCTTTTCCTCATACCAAAACAGGTGGTTTTCCACTTCCATGCCAATTTCAGGGAGTGGACAGCTCTGGTATGTCACAAATCCTTCCTCCATCCCCACCGCGAGGCTCGTCCAATTTTCGCTCTCAAGCGGAGAGAGACTCACTGAAAGCTTGGATGAAGAGATGTCCATCGATGCGGATGAAGTGGCATCACTGCGTCTTATGCATGGTGGTAAGTTTCAATGGACTCTCCGTCTTGGTAAGTTGAAGTGGCTTGATATGGCTTGATCATCGGAAGAAAATGTCGTCGAGTCTTGCTATAGTCACACCTCCAGGAAAAGGAAGTCCTCCCATGTTCGAATCCCTTTGATGTGAACAAAGGTTTCCCAAAGTTTGTCTGCAGAAAAACAAAACGCTTCTGCATTGTACTATCGGACTGCAACACCTCCCAGTCCCCTTGTGTCGGACACAACACCCAAAGGGCTACTGCTACTAGCAGCTGGAGGATGAGAATGTCTTTCTGGTGAGTAGCCGGACTGCTGTAGGCAGTGTCTCAAAATGCAGATCTCTATTTAACTCTATTTGATCTGGCCAACCGTTAAACCATGTTAAATCTCTATTTGATCTCTATTTAACTCTTTCTGCCAACCCAACCAGTTAGACTTCTTCCGTTTGGATCGAAGGACCCGGTTCAAGGCGAGACATCTCGCCCAACGGCGTCACTGGGCTGATCGAATTGCTGGGCTACATGCGCCACGTGCTTCAGATAGGAGGAGACGCTCCACCTCAAATACTCCAGGGGAGCGTGTGAGTTTTTGCTCAGAGTTCCGGAGGCGTGGTGCTAAAACATGTCGCATTCACCAATCCAGTCCAAATATGTCAAGAACTCGAAAACATGATATCCCAGTATATGCCAGTCATGTTGCTCCTTCGCTCATCCCCCAAACCGAGCTGGCGACCATCCTCCCTCCCCGATCTCCCTGAATGAAACTGGCATGTTCGTGATCCTCTGAAGAGATTCGTTGAATCCTTTGGATCCTCCTTGGATCCTCCTCTGAATCTTCTGAAGCACTTGAAAACACCAGAGTTCTATCATAGTATATGCTCTAACATCGACTCATACCACTATACCGGACCTGTCTGGAACTGGCATCGATCATTGAACCCTTTAGCTGTCTGGCCTCCAATCAACCTAAAGCGTATGGTTTCAGGTGATCCTGCAGGTCAAAAACTCATTTTGCTGAGCTTTGGACCTGAGGGGTACCAAAAACAAACCATACGCTGGATGTCTCGTCAGTAGCAACGGTGAGTCCGCTGAACTCCCCTCCCGGTCGCCACCCCGAACTGATTTCTCAAAGGATCCGCTTGCCTTTCACGTCCAGACAAGGTCGTTTTCGAACCTCAGCGGAGTCAACAAATTTGGATGATGTTGAATTGTTGATGTCTATTCAATTCCATGAGCCCTTAGATGATGGTGTGGGTGACCTGAAGGCTTTCACCCATTGTTCCTCACATGAGCAGAGATGTTGAGGGGTCGTCTGCTTTGAACAAAGCTGAGAGTCATTGAACAAGTGCCACAGAAGTGAGTGAAGTGAGTGACATCAGCAAAAGTGAGTGAAGTGATTGGGTTGACGGCGGATCTGATTTGGCCTCAGCCCCTTCTGTCATTTCTGATGCCACAACCACTACCTCCTGCGACCTGTCCTCTTCCCCGACCCCATGTATGATGAGAAAGACAAGCGCAATCAGTACAACTCTGCAGTTGCATTAGCCAAAACAGCGTCTGTACTGGACCAACTCGGCTCTATATCAGTATCCGTCATGAAAGCATTTATATAAAGCGTACAACGTACTCCCCTTAGGCCCCAAGCTGCCCTCACCACCAACCATTCAAATCCATTCAAGATTAAAAAAAAACAAAACAGCAATGATCAACTAAGCAGGTTACCGAGGTTACAGCACATCCACTCACCTCGGCATGGTGTGGCAACGAAACAGCTTCGTTCCTCTCCAAGTCGCTTTGCCTCGACACTCCAGGAAGACCACGCGGTAGTTGGGCTTCGAGGGATCTGTCTCCATCCGCCAGTGGCCCATGGACTTCCAGACCATTCCACCTGAGACGCTGCCCAGGTCCACGGCGGCCCACGTATACGGGCTGCCCAGCCCAGGTTTTCTTAGGGGGATGTTGCAGCTTGGATTTGCTGTCAAAGAACCAGGAAAAAAGAGCAACAACGTTCCCGAAAGATAATTCACCCATCCCTTTAGGGAAACTAAAGAATCACCCAAAACAAAATAGCAGGGAAGTCGACCCCAAGATGCTTCTGTCTTTAACCCCTACTAGGTTGTTTTGACTCATCCCCATATTATGGTTTTCCTAGGGCTTCTGTCCCACATCCTCAGAAGGTAGCTAGTCTTTAGTCCCCCTGGCACCCCAAGCACCTTCTGAGGATGCGGGACAGGAGCCCTAGGAAGTAGCAATGCCCTCCATCCACTCCTGGAACTCCCCCAACTTTGTAGAGGAAAAGTAGCCGTCCAAGGCACCCAAGTCGAACATGATTCGGAAATGCCATTGGCATCCAATAGCTAACCTATGGTGGTTAACGATGGTTACCCCATGTGATTCTCACGCGCTTGGCGTTCATCCCAAGAAATTCCACACCCTCATCCCTTCTTCCGGGCCGCTCAAGGATCCCTTGGTGCTAGCCTCTGAGTCGTGGTCGGACATCAAGTCCTTCAAGTCTAGAATCAAGGCCACACAAAGGAAGAAACAACTAACCCCGGACCATCCACCTAGATCGTCCAGTCTACATGCTGTTTATCAATAAAACCAGCCAAAAAGGCAAACATTTTGCATAGTTAGGACATCTTGCATGTGATTATGGAATAGTTACACACATTTACTCCATTTATGACCCTCATGCAGGTAACTATTCCACACATGGACCCTCTGGGAACCTGGGAATCTAAAGCCTCCCGTTTCGAGTTTCACAATGGGACTGTGGTAGGTGACTGGAGGGTCAAGCTAGTTGGAGCCCAAGAATAATTGTATTACAGTAGGGCTGGTTTGAATGTGTTCCTTCTCCGATTCTCCCCGAACGTCACGTCGTGCACGTGGTCGATGCTTGCCCCAATTGCTGGGGCGTCTGGTTGTGGGCTGATGAACATGGATTAGGCACCTGGTTCTTCAAAGCGTGCAGTTTCAGCGTGCAGTTTCATGGACCTTCAGTGGACAATAGTAGAAACCGCAAAGAAATTGGTCCAAACATGAAACATCATGAAACCACTGAATGAAAAGTCCGCCGCTCTTCCACAATGCAAGTTCAGGGAAGGTTGCGCACATGCAAATTGAACCAGCTTTAGGCCCATGAGAAGCGACCAGCACGACACATGACACTTCCTCACCCAGCCCAATCCAGTCCAATATGACGAGTGTATAAATGATGCCCTTTTATACTGACCTACATTGGATTCATCACATCATTTGTGATCACTGATAGAAAAAAACAACATGTCGAAATGGGTATTCTTCAAATACCTTGTCATACCTTTTCCCGTCCCTTCACAACGTTCTGCCCTGGCCAACCCAAAACATGCTCCGGTCCTGCCCCTGGAGTGCCGCCTCCAGCCACTTTCTCGCCGTGAACCGGGCGCCAGTGGTGCGGCCATGGAAGCCGCAGGAGCGCGACGACACGCGCCGGTCCACGCGCCGACGCTGCAGAAGCACCTGAAACACAGGTGACTGGTTGGTGACCGGGGAGCTGCCGGAAACCAAGGGGACACCGGGGGAGTTGAGGTGCGGGACCTTGAAAATGGGTCTCACCATTGAGGATGACGGTAGTCCTTGCAGTTGTTCATTGCAAGGGGTAGAAGGTGGTTCGATCCTCTTGTTGGTAAACGTTTGTAGTATTTGGTGCTACTTGCCCTGCAGAACATCGTGCATACTATCGTGCATGTTCCCAGTCGCAAACACCTTCATACAGTTGGAAGTTCTGAGATTCCTAGTTCATCCCTGGAGTCTCAGTTCATACCTCGGAAAAAATGGGTATATATAGAATATTATACCGCCATCTACCACCTGTTCTTTAACAGCATTTTTTCAGGCCTGGTAGGAACGCACCGGGAAACGGTCCGACGGGTGCCCCACGGGTGCCCGACGGATCCGAGGGTCACATCCCCACTGTATCAACCCCCTAGGGTTTTAGTCGTACCGTCTCTCAGGTACGGTGATGTGTCATGTGTTTGACACTGTCATGTATGTGCCAGGAGGGTCCAGTCGTACCCGAACCTGAGAAGGTACGACTGCATCCCTACAGATGTTTCTTTCCCTGGCCTGAATGCCTTTTTGATTGGTACAGAACAAGGAGGTCCTGCAGTCCCAACTTCTTGAACAAGCACCTTTCGTGCCATTGACCTCAAACCCTCGAAGGAGGTCGGCATCTCCTGGCCAGAAGCGGACAAGCAAAACGGATGATAGTTGAAGCATTGAGTTATATTACTGATAGGTGGTGAACTCCACTTCAATGATTATTCAGGGAGTCTCAAGTAATTTGAGGATGGTGGTGAGTCAAAAACATTCTGAGGACCCTCCAGTCAACTGACATGAACCATGAAAACACACACACACACACACAACACACAGCATTCATGTGCTTGCTTACATTTCTGGACATTCATTCAACACAAACTCTCTTGACTTGGTACCCCACATCCAATTTCTTGGCGCAAATCAACAAAGGAAATCACTGAGTCAAAGGAATAGGAGGCTTGTATCGAACCCTTTGGAACCCATCCATCGACCTCCCCAAACCAAAGAACACGATTAAAAGCAAAACAGAAACATCCAAACCCAAGAACCATCCAAAGGGATGCTGGACGCTGCTCGTCTCTGTCTCTCCCTGCTCCCCAAACTTAACGTAAGTGCCTGTAATTAAAGAATGGGCACGGTGCTGATAAGAAAAGGAGATGTCGTGACAGACCCAAGAACACCCTCGAGGCCCTCTACCCCGGAAGGGCTACCCTCCGTCGGGTCTGGACGGATTCCGGGCCCGGGTCGGTCGTCCTGGGCGATTTGGGTGGAACCTTCCGGCAGTGCGGCCGCACAGCAGGCGACCAAGCGTGACAGCTCCAAGGTCTCCTCGGTCTTCCCGCTCCGCCAAGTCGAGTGGACCGTGTCATGAACTGTGTCGAGCTCATTGGAATGACCGCCAAATGCAAAAGTTCATTCGATGCACCCTGTTGGGGGACGCCTCTTCTAGTCAGTTACCCTGAAGTGTAAGCATCTTTCACAGCTCGGACGATGGGTGACGATGGCGTGGAGAGCAAATGATAGCAGTTAAGTCCTTTCTTTACAGCAGTCCAAGTTTCTGGGAACTTCAGGTAGTCATAGAAGTTCTGCTTCCACAGCCTCACTCGTCGAAGAACCCATCGATCTGTTGTCGATCGGTGTAACTCGCCAAGGATTCCGACCATTGAACAAACCATGAGCTTTATGTCATCCCTGAACATCAATGTCATTCATCCTCATCACCAACAAAAACCCTTCAAAATGCATGTCAACCTAGTGGACCTAGCAAAGGGGGTTGGGGTACCTCCCGGGTAGCTCCTTGGCTCCCTTTTCATTGGGGAAATGATGAATACCCCTGGCTCCTTGAGCTCCTTGGCTCCCCCTGGCGACCCTCGGTCGCTCCCTCCTGAGCCAATCGAAAAGCCGCCGGCTCCCTCTCTGCTTCCGCCACAGGCACGGAGCATCAGCTTCCAGTGGGATGCCTTGCTGTGCAACGACCTTCAAGACATCCGACGCGAAGCGCTCCCTTTCTGTGGGCGAGAGCACGGTGAGCATATCTCCCCAGTGGCTTCGCACCAGATAGGGCTGCATCAGCGCTTTCCTGAGCAGAACCCCTTCGACCGAATTCCCACGAACCATAGGACCCATTGCAGTTGGAATCAGCCGCCGACTCGTGCTCTTCTCCTGAAATCAAGCACTCAATGAAATGTAGGTCAAGTGAATCCTGTCCCAGAGAGGTCGCAAAATCTGGTCAAGTGAATGTCACTCAACCGTTGACTCTTGGACTCCAAACGATTATATAATTGGGGAAGCCGTCTGGCGGGTGGCAGTCTGAACCGTGGAGACTGCAGACTCCCAAATCGTGATGAAGGCTGAAGTCTTGGGTGGATTACATCACATACACTTCTTGCAAGCATTGCAAACAAAGAACATCCAGAAGTCAAGTGTTTTGTCTCCCTTGCGATACAACGGAGTATCCCAACAGCCAGCCAGTCACTGTTGTATGTTTAACGTGTTTTGCGACTGCAAGCCAGGCACGGATGGTCGCAGCGGTGACCGGAGTCATATCCTTGGAGGAAGACGAAGACCCGCTCAAGACGGACGTCAGTTGGGGCGCTCGAAAGCTGAAGTTGGGACGTTTGGGTCATGGCACCGCCAGGGAAGGTAACAAACATGGAGTACCTGGGAAGGTCAACCAGAGGTTTTCGTTCCGGGCTCACCATGCATGTGAGTGTTATGATCCACCCAAAATGATCTCTCTGCCCTTCAAAAGCTGAATTTGATGAACCTATGTCAGACACAGAAATGGCCTGAGATAATAGGCATAAGTAACGTATTGATGTTTGTCGATATTGGATCTGGAGTAACAGTCACATTGAACCCCAGCATTCCAGAAGGTTTCACTTCACACCAAAACATTTTACCAACACTCAAACCACCGTTCCCCCCAACCATACGAAACAGCAAAAAAAGTCCTTCAGAACTCGACTTGAACTCTACAGACTCTGAGGACTTCTGCACTGCAGGTCTTGAGGGCTGCTGCAAATTCGCATCATCCCTTGGACTGCTGGGAGTCCGAAAACGCCAACAAAAAGACCTGGACAGAATTTAGGTCGTTGCCTCGGTTGCTGGGAACTTTCCTCCATGCACCGGCATGGAGATGAAGGTTTCCTAACTTCCATGACCTCCAGAAAGCATCAAAAACAAGGCTTGTATGTTACACGAAAACATAGAAGGATATTGTAAGGGAAACCCGGTGTTCATGTAGACTCCAGACCATGAAGCTATTGCTAGAAGCAACCTCGCAAAAGGATGTAGAAGAGACCAGAGACCCCCAAGGATGGGCATGTGATCAGCTTAAAGAACAGCTTAATACAATCCCACCTATAGAAAGAAGACTGTCGAGGCCTGAATCCATGGTTACACTCCCGAAGAACACCAACATATAGACTCTGGCAATAACCCCTGGAAGATTGTTTTCCTCTACCAACCAGTGGTTTTCAGGGTCTACGTTTGTCTTCCACGGTGTAAACTGAGACACTCAGCAATCTCTTCAGCACATGCAACGTCAACAAATTTGCCCTGATATCGAGAGTCATCCCCAGCACTGCACGCCTCCAGAGGGCCTACTTTGCGCCTGCCCAGTGTATGTGTTGAGTCCACCATCCAGCCACAACCAACCACAACAGTCTTTGCTCCCGAAACCAAAACGATGAGAGCAAGATCGAATCCAGTTTCTGGTCCCAGGATCTCTTGGCTTGCTCCAGTGTGGTCGCGGCTAGAGCCACCAGTGAGCCATAGACATCACTCTGACCCTTGCAGACTCGGGCCACCTGCACGTGAAAGGAGACTGAAGGAACCTTGCACCACCGAGCTTTGGTGGATTGGTCTTTGCAAAAGTCTTGATGGAAGGCTCAGTGGTATCCTCGAAACTTGATAAAGGCTTCACAGCAAACAAGCGCACTCTTCAAAGCAATGCCATGTACTTTAGCAAACTCGCTTGGCCAAGTTCATGTCTCACCATCTCCACTCACCCTGCCGGCAACCCTCCAGCCATGGAATCAAACTCATCGAGCACTCACATATAGTTGCACAAACACTAGATGCTACCGCAACGCGACTGGCGCGACTGTAAGCTGGGAGAACCCACTAATTATCTGCTATGGCGTATCCTGAGTAGCTGGGTATCTCAAATCTGACTCTGGGTGACCCAAAAAAAACCGTCCGCATGACTCATGACCGTCCCCAGTACCAGCTCTTTCGTCGTCAAGCAATTCCTCTGCCAACAGGCCCATCCAAGCAACAAAATACATGTGTAGAGTCATGCTCGGTCGTCTTCGTGTGTGCTTTGTATACATATGGTGTGTGTGTGTGCTTTGTATACATATGGCCCATATGGCGCCTTCTCCAAGATGCCGCTACGTTGGTGGAAAGGCGATAACTTCAACCAGCGGAAGACCTTTGACAAGTCCAGGCCAATGGTGAACTGCACCGTCTCTGGAGCATTCCAAGACCTGGTGACGAGCAAAGTCTCCGGCTCCCCGGCTCTGTCTTGGTGAAGCTGGGACCGGAGTGGATGAGTGGGAGATCTGTCCCTACCTGAGGATGGCCAAGAGTACAGGGTGATGGACAGTGAGAAGGTGGTGCAGTTATACACCCTCCCTCCAAGTTCAACTCTTGGTCTTATAAGACCTTACAACTGGTGTATTTCCCGTGGTTCTTCTACTTCCTACATGCTGAGTGGCTCTTTGAAGACTTGCACCGAGGTCGACCGAGTCGACCCGTCAGCGTCCACCTCCAGGGGATCCGGGGCGTTGAAATGGTCCTCCGTTTGGTTCCTACTCACTTTGGATTCATTCAGACACCATTGTAATACCCCACGGCAACTACATGTATACATGTCCTCAGGTGGATTGAACGTTGGCAAGCCTGAAGCAAGTCGACTTGCCATGTGTGAAACCCTGTTCACACGTGGGACGCATGATTCCGCTCACTCCGTGAGACACATCCAGAACACGATTCAGCAACTTGATCCAAACATGATCTAAACATATCAACAAAATGCCTGTTGTAATCCTCCTGCTCAAAAAAGGCATCCTGGAAGGACTAGACCATAACCTTCTACTTATTCAGGCTTCTTCTACAAACTTGACTACGTATACTACGTACACTTTGGTTAGTCAATCCTGTACAATCTTGCACATCCTTCTCCAGCCCTAGTGCCCAACGCCCAAATCACCTCTCCCGCCAGGCGACTCCACCGATCGCCTCTGCGTGAAGTGCACCGCGGGCGCGACCGTCGAAGAGGCCTCTGCGTGAAGTGCACCGCGGGCGCGACCGTCGAAGAGGCCGCCGTGGACGTTGGACGAGGCAGCAAGCAGCGACGCTGAGATCCTGAGCTGCGGAGGGAGAGTGGTGGGTGACTGAAAAACCCGGCGCAAGTGCGGTAGCAAAGCTTCAGGGGATTCATGCAAACATAATGAGGTCTTTTCCGGGGTGTGAAAAGTGGGCAAGCGGGGTTGTGACATGTTGGGATCAGTCTTGAACATGGTGTGACATAATGAAACGGACTGAAACCAGACCCGTTGGGTGTCGAAAGGTTCACAGGGTGATTTTACGCGCGGGGCCCTTGTTGCGAAGTTCAGACACCCGACCTGGTCCCCTTGATCAACGGTGTCAAAAAAAACAAAACCCAGACACTCCATGTATGCCATATATGCCTACATTGACCCCCAAAACCACCCCAATATAGGCATATATGACATACATGGACTGTCTGGGATATGTAACACATTGGAAACATGTGGAAACACGGTAGAAAGCGGCTTCGCCATGGCACCCCCAATACTGAAAAACATGCATATGGTTACGACAGTATCATATGGTTACAGTGATTTGATGTAGGAGCAAACCAGCACAGCATATCATCTATACCAACTACCGCAGGCCGGTTCGCCCATCGCTCGTCTGCCGTGGCACCACAAGCGTTCACCTTCCGCAGCCAGCGTTGCCTGCAAGTGTTGGCGGTCCCAAACGATCGAGTGTTGGTGTCGAGGTCGGGTTTTGGGCCTATTCGCTGGAAGTGAGAAACAATGGTTGATTTGGCCTTTCACAAGCACTTTCTGCAGCTGCCATCAAGAATTGTGATGATGATCATTGTTTTTCTACTTCGATATGTTGATTTCAGGTGGGGCTACCAACAAATGCTCAAAAGCCATCCAGTTGTAAAAATCCATTTGGAAATCCAAAACTTCTCGATTCCACTAATTCCCCCAACCCGTCCTGGTTCCACCATTGATGCAGCGTCAAGTATAGTTCAACCATGTTCAACCCCAAAATCCCTCAGGTTTGGGATGCCTTTTACCAAAGGCTGACTGGATGCATCCTGTTTCTGTTCGCGGTGGCCGAACATCCGACCTGAGATGCCACGACGCGGGAACGACCCAACCAAAAAACACCTCGCCCCCGAACCGGCCACCGCCCGCGAAGTCAGGGATCGAGCGGCAGATCGGGCAAAAGATCTTCGATTTCCGCGGGCGCGATGGTCTCCTCAGTCGCTGGCCATCTGGGGGAGTTGGGGGGGGGAGGGAAACGGTCCTGATCCTCCAGCCCTGAGGCTCCAGTCGTAGCTCCGAAGGTATGACAAGAATAACATCGCGTACTATGTAATCACAGGTCCAAATCCTTAGGGCTCCAGTTGTACCTCAGAAGGTATGACACTGAAGCCGGCACCGCCCCCAGTTCCACCTTCGGCACTCGGGCCAGTACATGGAACATGATCCTCCAGGGAATGAGGCTATTTCCTCATGCGAGTGAAAAGAACTGAACAACGAACTGCTATTTTGAGGTGTTAATGATGATGTTCCAGAGTCGCCACGTTCACACCCGGAGGTATTTTTGCCCAAAATGGAACGGCGGAAGACAAGTTGACGAAGTCCGTTTTGAACTTTGACCGACGGTAGGTATTTCTCACTTCCAGAATGTCAACATGTTGGTGCGAAGGGGGATCTGTTTCTGGTTCCGAACGGCCATCTAGTCTAATTAATGCCCAAACATTCAATGGGACTGGCAGATTTTCCGATCAACTGGGGTGGTTGAAAAGGGGTCAATGCAAGTACAGTAAGTATACTGTATTCCATACATAGCGTCTGGGACCTGTGTTTTTGGGGAAAGAACAATGACGTCACCGTCCGTTCATCCAAAGGCCGGCCGCTGGGGCGCTGTCATTCCAAAACACGTGCTCCAACCAAGCTTCAGTTTGCAGCTCGATGAGGGCGCTGGCGCTTTGCTTCCACCGCTCATGCGCAGGTGTGCGGCGTCTCTCCTGACCGTGCAGGTAGATGCCGCCATCCAAGCCCACTTGGAACCTGGCAGCACAAGCAGGTGTTTGGTTGGAACTTCTGGCCAGCAAGAGTGAATCATCAAAAGGGCCAGTTGGATGGAATTGATGACCGCTGAATCTCTGGATGATTCTGGATGCATTCTCTGCTCATCTGGAGTTCGATCCAAGGGCTGCCTTGAAAGCTGCCTGAATGGACAGCCAATGCAGGAAACATCTTAAACTGTGTTGTGGGAAGCGTGCAAAGGGATGGTGTCTTGGAGTTTTCTTCCAATGAACTGTGAGTTGAGCAAGTTCTGGCATACTAGTAGAATGCTACTGGATATCTTCAACGTCTTCAAACACCTTGCTGAGAGGAGTACATCTGTCTGCCTCTTTCACAACACCATCCCCTTTGAAAGCTGCAGCAGGACCCAGGACCACCTCAAATCTTAGGGCCCCTGGGTTGAGCATTAGTGGAATCCAACCCTTTAGGGGAAACTCGATCTATAATACTCCTTTGCTCACTGTCAAGACGCTTGGGCAAACCGTTCCTCCCACCTTTTGAATACCATCTTGAGCTCTGAACTGACTCGCGGTGAACAACAACAGGACTAGCGGCGAGTGCTTGGAAGACTGCGTGACGTTGAAAGGAAGCCATCGCCGGTGGGCGGACTTAATATAGTAATTATTGCGTTACTAATGGAAGAACCCAGCAGGTCTCAGGCTGACTCCATCAGTGGACAAGCACACCCTACAGGTCAAAGACCTCATTTTAGTGGAGTTGCTCACACATCACACTACTCAATAAGATGAAGGACCAGCTTTTCCTGGGTCAGACTGGACCTCTAGTAATAGTAGGTTAAACCCGAACTTTCCGGTTGGTTGCAGTGGGGAAACCACTGGCATCCACCTGGCCATCCTGCCACCTGGCCCGAGGAGCCACTTGGACGTCTGGGGGAACAGCGGACGCTTGGGCTGAACTCCTCCGCGCAGGAGCACCAGCTGGGGGGTCCTGAAAGCGCCACCGAGTTCGAGGGTCTAAACCGCAGGTCCTGTATCAACAGGTCCTTGTTGAGGCAGGAAGGGGTGTGGCAGGAAGGACACATGACTCATCAAGTTTTTGCAGACTGCTTCATAGATGACCCCATCCTGTATGGTATTCGTCACATCATCATCCAAGGGTCCGTGTTCCACTTCCATGTTGGTCAGTCGGAGGGTAACCATACGACAGGTCAGTCCGTGTCTCAACACAGGCTAGTTTTGATGAGCATTGGCGCATCTCCATCGCCAGCGAAGCATGAAGAATGGACATTCTTTGACAGTGGCACGTGCATCCCGCAAACCAACAGGGCCCCCCATTTCCAAAAGGTTTGCCTTCTTGGGTGGAGGGTAGCCAGCAAACGCACCAATTGGGTTTGAGAGCCAAACAAGCACATCCGTCTGCTAGTTGTGTCCCAAAAAGCACTCAGTTGTGCAAAGAGTCATCACCAATCGACTTCCTTTCAACCTCGGCACGAATGCGGGAAAGAGCTGTGCATAGGCCGCATTGCTTATCTTTCTTGCCATGTTTGTAATCTGAGTGAGAAGCATTCACCCATTATCACTGTACATACTCTGCATCGGTTGACTCTCCTTTTCAGCAACCAATTCCTTCAATCCCTCAACCCAGTTATTTCTACCTGTTCCTGACATTTCCTGACTTGAAAAAAAACACATTGCATGTCGCGTGAATTATGGACAGTGTCACAACCCCTGGCTGGGTACTGTTTCAACTAGCGAGCTTGCAATATCTTGCAATCAAACGTACTAATATATATATATAATATAATATAATATAATATTAGTGATACTACTTAATTATACAATGTATAATGCTGGTTGATAACCCCCCCATTTGGATTGTAAAATATTTTCATAGAGGGGGCTTATTCATCAACAGCCTGCATGACGCATGGTCAACCTGTTTGAGTGGTCTGGCAAGTCTCCCAGCTTTTTCTGGAGATTGCTGACGTTCAAATCTAAATGCTCCGACCACTGTGTGCGCTCCTGAAGCTCTAAACAAGAATTCCACCAAGGATCAAACGAGCTACAGGAGTTTTCAGTCATCCAATCAAACAGTTGCCCATCAAAATGATGGGTCCATCTACGCAACATATGGTTGAATGATGTTGAATAATAGACTATGACAATGATTCACAGTTGATCAGTCCATGCCGTACCCATCAGTCCATGCCCCGCTGCGCTCTCCCTGCACTTGAACATACAGCAGGCGTTGAGCTGTGGCCACCGGGGTACTCGATTTCAAAGTCCAACGAAACACTGGAGCGATTCACGCGCTGCCGATCCAGTAAACGTCCCTGAGAGGAGTAGGTCCTCAGTCTCAACTGCGTGGGACACATGTCTCATGAAGGAGTGTGGTGGGAGAGTGGTTACCTCCAAAAATGGAGGTGAGAGATGGTGTGAGGGAAGTGAACATGAGGAGCTAAGGTGGTCAACCAACGAGTCCTCTGAACCCAGCGGAGAGTCTGCCGGTGTTGCGTCACAACGTCTGATTGTTGGGAACTCAAACAGAAAAGCCAATGGTCTGTCCAACCCTGCATCCAACTTTATGTGGTTGCTTCATGGAAGAGCATTTCAAAAAAAAGGCCTTCCTCTCTTCACCTTCCCCCACACCCCCACAACCCTGGAAGTTGCCAAGATTGGGGAGATGGCTCAGAGTGTCCAACCAACCAACGTATGCTTCGGTAATTCGGGCAGATGCAGGTCCAGAGGTGCTGACCCCATGGCGATGGCCATGGTAGAAAAGAACTCAGACGTCTAGTGCTTTCGAGAGGAAATACCTATATAGATCTACCAACTGTGCAACATGTCTGCCTTTTTTTTGCATTAGAAAAACCAGCAAAATCTACAATTTCATCTATCCAACCAACCCTAGCTATGTCGTGACCACCCTCTTTGAGGACCCGCGTGGGCTGGGCCTTTCCACAGTTCCCCTTTAAGGGGTGGCACGTTAACCCGTGGCACTCGGTCAAGAATTGTGACACCTTCCAAAAACGCAACACACTCATGTTCGTGTGACATCCTTTTTGCATTTTTTGTTGACCCAAAACAGTGACACATTTTGTGGAACAAATCATGGTGGATGCGGATGGTATGGCACCTGGAAGACCATGAAATCCAAATATTTAGGGCTTTCCGGGCTTTCCAATGTTGTTTCACTAACCCGTGCTTCCTTTCAGGGAGTGTAGCATCAAAACCTCCTGCCACCTTCTACCACTACTGAACCTTCTGGCTCCTCTGGCCGACTTCAATCGGGTTTTCGCCGGAGTCCCGGAGTCCCGGAGTCTCCAGGGCCAGAAGCAAGCTGAACAGGGACCAACAGGGACAGTTGACATCAGTGAGGTAATGGAGAGGTATGGCAAGAACGAGTGAGGATGATCCTTTGGATCTGATTTGCGTGACAGAGTTGAGTGACAGAGTTGGTGTGATCTCAACCTGATGGGATCTTCCCAACATGATGGGCTTCATCCCATCCGAACACGTAAGATCGATCATGGTGGAACACAGATTAAGCAACAGGTCCTTGAAACCGCATCTGGAAAAACCACGAGGCAGTGGACCCATCCGCTCAAACACGTCGGTCCAAGCTGCTGCATCAAGGACTTCACCATCTCGAATCGCTGCTCCGTTTCCACTCCTTCAGTCGGCACCGCCGACACCGACGGGCCGGGCGACCCAAGACCGTTCCGAACGGGTTGACGTCATCACACCGAACATCACTGGTCGACCGCCACGGTCAGGGTCCGGCGCGGTGGTTCACTGGCGACCCAGCTGTGGCATCCGGGCTCGGTGGATCTTGGGTGAAGGTCTTGGGTTTACCCAGCTGCCATGTTTACTCAGCTGCTAGGATCTTCTTGCCGAGCCAACAAACACGGAAGAGGAGAAACTCCGAGTTTTTTTAGAGTGAACAATGGTCTTGGAAAGGGGCCTGACTCCATGCACTCCATCCACTCCTGGTTTCAGGTAGTGTACAGTATCTTCAACAAAGATTGGGGCAAAATTATGTTTGAGGAAAACAAGCTCAGGCTATGAGACAATCAGTTGACTATCGGACAAGAACCTTCTGGAGAATGTCAGCTTGAAGCACACATTTTGCCAATGAGGGATCACCATCTGAATCTTGCAATCGTTACTGTGTATTATATATAGAGAGAGAGAAGTGTAGGAGAAAAATGATTTTAAAAAAAAAAGTGAACAAAGCATCATGGGCCAACTGATTCTGCCGCTTCAAGGCCATTAATTATGAATTATGATTCTGATCAATTAAGTTTAATATATAGTATACATATATAATTTATACTATATTGTATAATATATATATATATATGACCCCTGCGTAAATGCAGGAAGATATCCGATGACTCAATCATATTGCCACTGAACAGAAACAACTAACATAGGTTTTGTTTAGCTTTCACTTCTTCTTGGTTTTCTCTTCCCACGTTCAGGACAAACAACTCGGTCTCCCAGATCTCCAAGCGGCTGGTGCCCACATGATCCTCGAAGGCAGGCCGCAAGCCACCTGCTGAGTGACATTCGAACAGTGTTGATGTTTGGGATTGATACTATAGCGATGTACTCCAAAGCTACCAGATGCTACCAGCACATGGTGTGTAGGCCGGTACTTAGAGACCCTCTAGCCGCTACTAGCCCCTCTACCAATTGCTCCCAAGGACCTGATTGAACCCCAAGACTGAACAGAATCCTCTATGGGTGATCTACTCATCAACATCAACGAACTTCAGGGTGAATGGAAATCTCTTCCATTTAGGCCAAACACTAGGCCAAACTGAGAAATCGTTTTTTCTCGCCAAAAAACCGTCAAGATCCTGGAGCCGAGTGTCTGCTCCACCCTTTGTAAATTTTGCCAAATCCTTGACGCTCCATGCAACTGGAATATTTACCCTAGGGATCCAAGTACCTTCTCCACCCAATTGATCGGCAGATCAGTCCCATGGAGTCCGGGTACGGTATCATATGTTTTTATAATGTTTTATACATGAGTTCACATGGTTCAATAATCGTGGCATTCATAGTGCTTTTTGAGACTTTTTGTATTGGAATCATATGGTTTCATCATGGTTCATCTGTTTTGTGGCCGTTTCACGGCCATGTCTCAGACGGTGGATTCATAGGGTTGACTACCACTCTCGGGCCTATATCGTTCCAAGCGAAGCGATGTTTGATCCTGTTGGGGCCCGGGTGCCATCTCCGGGTCCAGCCATACCTTCTGAGGTATGACTGGAGCCCCAAGGGGTCAATTAGGGATGCTGACCCTTTCGAGGGGGGTCAGGTACATGGGTCAGGTATATCCAGTTCTTGAAGGTGTCCTGTTCCGTCGGCCGGGGAGGCTTCGAGATCGGAAGCTGCGCTCCAAAACGGCGAAGAGCGCGCTTGATTGATGCTATGCGTGTAGAGCGCGATCATGCATGTTCCGCAGAAAAGTGAGTTCTAGCATGTTCTACCATGTTCTAGCACCCGGAAAAAGCTCAATGGACTCAATGGACTGTCTGGGAGTATTCCTTACGAGTCTTTTCGAGACGACCTGGATTCAAACATGCCAGCAGAGGTTGAAGAACCCTATAGACTATCCTATACGTACCCCTGTAGGGTCCTATATGGTCACTCAACCTCTGTTGGTGATCCCAAACTGGATCAAACTTGGAACATCTTGGAACCCTCGCGTCCCAGACCTCGTCCAGCGAACTAAGGAGAGCCCCCTCGCTGTTTTTCGCTGACAAAGAAAGGTGAACCGAACGAACTCTGCGCTCTACTTAGTACTTGTTGAGTGGAGTCTAAAATCTAGTTGAAAGTTCCTTCACTGCACTTCCTGGGTAGTTATACTTCACCCTACTTCACCCATCTTCACCCTCAGTATTATGAATGGACCGGCACACCGAAGGCACCGGGCCTACGCTTGGAAGCACCAATGCCCCAAGCAGCACCGGGAAGGCTCGCGCCCGCAGTGCCGACATGGTGACATGTGAAGCTCGGCGAGATGGACTTCCGGTTAGTGGCTTCAATGCTTGCTTTCAACTCAAAAACATCTGAGTCAGTCAAATCAATCATCCCCAAGTCAAGGATGAAGCTATATCATATATGAAACCACCAACCCGGTAGTTTTTGGACCCCCACGCCCTTCTCGTGGGGATGGGCCCGCCGATTTCGAGGGACCCAAGGAAAAGACCTGGCTTTAAAGACCTTTGAGCCCCAAGGATTGGCGGAACACGAGGGAATGCAGGAGGACGCCCTGCATGCTGCATGACCCAAAGCAAGGTGTCTCAAGACATGGCCATCCATGGCCTACGGATTCAGGATGATGTGCGTCTGCTGGTAGACTGATGTTGAACAAATTGGTGTCAGTGCACATATACTGGACATAGAAAATCATAGAAAATCATATAGAAATATATCATAGAGATCATAGAAAATCATAGTACAAGGGTACAGTTGACAAAGATTGTGCGAAAGAGTCATTTGTGCCAACTTCACATCCAGTGATTTTGACACATGCCGCCCTGTTCGAAGGTCGAACATCCCCCATCCTCGATCTTCATTCCCCAAACGAACAGTCCCGGATGGGCTCCTGTCCCATCTCCTCAGGTGCTGGTCTTCGACCCCCCTGGCACCCGGGCCACCAGTCCCACCTAACCTGGGGATGCGGGACAGGAGCCCTAGGGAGCGGACCTTTTCCGGAAACCGCCTGTTCTTGGTCAGCATGGCCCCCCCGACACGCTGCCAGCGCCAGTGCAAAGAACTCCAAGAGAATGTACACCTGGCGACCCGCGACCAAGTCGTCCTGTGAATTCTCAAGGCGGCACTCCATCTGGTCTGTTTGTTGTCATTGTGGCCCATGGAAGGTGATGCCGAGCTGCTTGCTGTTAACCCAGCAACAAAATGCAGTGCCTTCCAAAGACTGGCCAAAGTAAAGGCCACATCAAAGCTTGCTGCTGGTCATTCCAGGCGGAAACATCTTTGTCCTTTTTGATCCCACTGGTTCAGGTCTGATGGTAGATGTTCACGGGCAAAAACGCACACCGGATAGGTCGATTTTGAGACCCATGCGAACATGTTCGGAAATAACGAAGTATACTGTACACGACTGTACACCTGTTGGCAAATCTTGTAGCCATTCAATGTACTTCCAAGTAAAACGAACAAGTCCTCCCAACACAAATGTCCACGCAATCATACACCTCCGTCACCTCCTTCCAAGGATCAATGATCGATCGATATTCGACAATATTCCCCCGACAATATTCCCCCCGCAGACGAAATGGATCCTGAGAATTGACCCATGGTTTCGACCCTTTTCCTCCACACACCGGAACCGCAGCCTGAAGAACCATGGTCTTTCACGTGTGGACGTTGCGACGAAGTCGCCAAATGGCCATGGCTTTGAGATCTGCCAAATGAGCTGATGATCTAAGTGGCCGGATGAGGTGTGATGGAGTAGAGGGGTAGAGGGAACAGGTGATGCAGGTGATGAAGGTGTCAGGTGATGGCAGGTCGCACTTCTGAGAGATTGCAAAGGTCCTGCATGTGGGCTGAGCATCTCTCTATGCATCTCTTAACCTGGCACCTGAGCCGAGAACGGACCCATCTGCGGGTTCAACCTGAATAGGTTTGAATGGTCCAAGTTGGTTCCATTGGCAAAAAAAGATAGTCGCCAAAGTGATCCTGTTTGAACTCTCCTACAAAGCTACCAAATGGAGGTTGTGCAGGTGGTTCTGGTCTAGGAGCATCCCACTTACATTCCAAAGTATGTCCAGGAATCTTAGAATACATGTTAGCTGTGTATACGGAGACTTGGAGAAACAAATCACCATCATATCGTGTTGACCCTTCAGACGGGCAGTATGACGTGCAGTCCATCAACTGCTAGGGAGACTGTTCTTGCCCTACACCTCAGTGTCCCATATCCGAAGGTCGTTGGACCCCCAAAGCCCACCCCAAGCGCCTTCGAACCGAAGCTACGACTGGAGCCGACCCATCCGAGAGGGTGAAGAAAACGGCCCGCCCCTACACCTCCTGAAGCCTGAGGGGCACCGATCCAGATGTCGGTTTCGGGTTACCAGGTTTACTTTCTGGATGACTGGATGCACCCATTTTTCTGTGATCCAGAAACCTACCAAAAGGACTTTTTGCACCTATCGACACTACCCAGTCAGGAAACGACAGGTTAGTCGGACTGGCTGTTGAGGGGAGCTGGCTGAGGGGACCGCCAAAGCATCACACGGCTCGTGTGTGTGGCTCGGCTCGGCTCGTCCTTTCTCTTCAAAACCATAACGCGACGCGCAGATGTCCAACGCGCAGTGTGCTCAAAAGCTTTGTTGCTGAAGCCAAATGGAAACAGCCACCAAAGATGTGGGTTCAAAGAAGTAATTAAACTTTAAACACCTGAGGATAACAAACAACACATGTTGTTTTATGTTGTTTTCAATACAGAAATCCGTGATCCAGCTTTTGTTGTCTCTGCACGCACCATCTTTCAGTGCCAAGGCTTGGAAGGGCTCTCCAGCGTGCGTATCACTCCTTTGGCTTGGTCTGCCGAGCCTTCCTGGTGGACCTCAAATCAAGCCTGGAGGACGTCCCATATCATTATATATAATCATTCTAAATCAAGGTATATCCCAATGCGTCAAAGAAGGGCTTTTGTCGGAGCCTGGACCCCTGGATGACAAAATCAAAACAAAAGAAAACAAACACCCAACCACCCAAAAAAGGGGTAGGTGGTCTCATGAAACCAGACTAGTCCAATCTCTCTCTGCTGTTCATGCGACAAAGAGATATTACTGATGCCATGCTGCAAACCTCTCCCAAGCCTTGAAATGACATACCATCTGCGTCCAATGGTTGATCCGCAAGGTACTGCCATTCAAGACGCACAAGTTTGAAAAACAAATAAAAACACGTGGTGCAAAACGGTAGGAGCCTTAGGCTGCTGTCCGCATGCACATGCCTCGGAATCTAGAACTCAAGAGGCGGCAAGAAACTGGATTGCTGAATGACCAGGTTGTTGGCGCCCGTCATGTCAGTGTCACAGATTTAGTGTCTGGTCTCCAAGTACCTATCGCATTTGCATGCATTGGCTTGGATATACTGAGGGGCCCATCGCTACTAGGGGCTCCTGGCCTTACTACTAGGAGCTATAGAAGCTACTAGTAACAAGTGCATCGCTACTAGGAACAGCTACATCGCTACTAGTAGCAAGAGACCACTAGTAGAACAGATTCCCTGAACCAACTTCCCCACCCTCTCGGTTTGCCTCCAATTGCCTCGGTCGAATCCACGACGCGTTGGAACGACGGGGGTCAATGCAGCGTCTGATCATCCGAATCCATACGGTGGGAGACTCCGGCGGTGCTGGGCTACCCCCTGCAGGTTCCGCCTCTCCCCAGTCGATGCAGCTATCGATGTTTGGAGGGTGTGAAGTTCTGGGGATCAAATATCAAGGTGTAAGACGTGAAGGAAAACATATTGGACATGTGCTGCTATTTTTGAAGCAAATTAGCAGATTGATGCATCTGCGAAATATAGAGGGGCACCCAAACACAGTTGGCAACATCACTACTTCATGATCAATTTGTTGGCTGTCCATCACTGCACCTTCCAGAGAGGGTCAAATGCGGTCCCTGGGCCTCTCACGAGCTCAGGAACAAGCAAAAATACATTGAAACGAACGCACTTGATGTTGTGCGTGTAGATTTTACCGATTTTAGACCCTGACAGGTTTTGCCTCTGCACAGCACTTCGAAACTGATGGCAATCCGTACCATCGATTCTTGTTGATATCCAGAAGAGCTAGAGCTTTCAGAACAGCATCCAAATGGATCTCGCATATGGAAGCCTCGTGTCCACACCCCTCATTCCGGGCGTCCTGTAGACATTCCGGATCCCATGGAGTGGTTGGGAGTTGTCCGACACCGAAAAAAATCATAAGAGTACATGAGTACATGTCTTTTACTTTTTTTCGGAGGACCCTCGGGTTGGTAGTTGTAAAATGTTGTAAATGGATGGATTCTCAGATTAGTTACTTCTGGCCTGGCATGCCTGCGAACCGGGTGACGATTAAAAAAAAAAACACATTTTTCACCCGCAAGTGTGGACTTCACAGCCGATGTGAGGTGGACCCCTCGATGTCATCGTTGCATCGTTGAGTTTGGGCAACATCTGATCCAGTTCTGAAAGGAGTTCGTGAGTCGCTCAGAGCAGAAGCCATGACGTTCATACATTGACATATATATATAATTATGTATATATGTATATGTATGTATACTGTATACATACAAATATATGCAACTGTACTTGTTTTTCTCATAATATACTTTATAGTTATAATATAGAATGATATAGAGATTGTAGTAGAGAGAGAAATAAAAAAGATACTCCAATTCTTGAAGAAAAGGAAAGCAAACAGACAAGCAAACAGACACACACACACACACATCCATCACACTGGACATCATCTTCAGTGCTTTGAGGCTAAACCGTGTAACCGTTCAGAGTCCAAAGTTTGAAATCCGCACAAACGAAATCCGCCCCTGCAGACGCGTTTGTTCGTACGTTAGTGTGGAAGCTCCCGAAACACATCCCCTCGAGACGGGATCTGAACCATGTCCGAACGAGCGTGCAGCCGTCGACATTAAGACAGAATTAATATGTTGTTCTGGTCGCCCAAGAAACAACTTGCGTTATGTATTTCAAACAAAATATCAAACACTCCTTGGGAGTGGCACATAGACCTACATTGGGATGTTTTGAGGGATCAATGTAGGCATTATATATATATATATGTATAGTTATTATATAATATATATATATATTTATTCCATACATTGGATATCATTGGAGTGTCTGGGTAGAGATGTTTGAGTTCAAAGCAAAGTGATGCTTCATGATGTGCCCATGGTTTTCCTTTTCCTCAAGGACCACACTAATTAGGGCCTTATACATCGATCGATCCACAGGTCGATGACCGGGTGTGGTTTATGGAGTATGGCTCCCGCGGTGCCTTTTGATAGGTCAACCATGGTCGTGATATGGGATGGCACTCACTGGTTAAGGTTTTGTTCGAGCAGAACACGACCACCTGTGTCAGGACAGTGTCTAGAGCTGGGGGTTTGTGTCGCGACGACCCACCTGGAGGTCAATGACCCACCTTCCGGTCAGTCGACTTGGTTTTGACCGCCATTTGGTGATGGTGTGCGTGCGGGGGGGTTGTGCCGATTTAATTGGTTTGTTGAAAAAAGGGAGCGAACCCCCTGGAAGTAGGGAACTATGACATGTCGTTCCCATTGGTTCGAAGTTCGGCGTCAATAAAGTACCTTGGACCTCAGGTGGTGCCCATGAGCCCCACTGCGGAGGGTGGTCAACAGACGAGTAGTGAGCAAACTTCGTCTGCGTCTGTCGGCCATCCGTCAGGACTTTTGCGCCGACAGGAATGCGCGTCGTGGGCCGTCGGCTTTGATTCAGTGATTGGTCGGTGGTTTCAGGAAGACACTCTGACGAGGTCTTTTTAACAGGATGGCACCAGTTGATCTGTCTTCAGAGCTTCAAATTATGTTTAAAAACTCACTGTTGTTACAGTTGTTGACTCGCATGGAAGTTCAAATCCCCACTTTGTTTCTATCAGAAAGTCCTCTTGTTTAATGGACCACACACATGCACCCACCGGTCATGTCCAGTCCAAAACAGGGGTCATGTCTGGGTTGAAACGACATACATTGGCCACGCATTGTCCACCTAATATATGATGTGTTCGTTAGAATGTAAAATCTGTGAGAGGTGTTCTGCATCGAAAAGACAAAAGTCTTGGGTGTAGACCGTCTCATGGTTTTTTGATCTGGAAGGAACCGAGTTACACGGGGGTGAAACGCTGAGAAGAGTTGACATTATATAGATCCTACAGCCTATTAGACCTACTAACCAGATCGTATCAGAACAAAATCCAGAACATGCTTTCAATGAGAGACTGGACGAGGTTGCGGATGTGGGAGCTTCCTCACCGCAGCTCGGCTCAGAACATGACCTTGGCACTCATTTCGACTGGACTGGACGGGGGGGGTGCTCACGGTGGTGTAGAGTACGGTGAAATCCCCACCGCCATTGCCGGGAAAACAGGCGAGTTCACCCCATTCCCAATGGATCCACATACCCTCTGGGAGAGTGCTTGGACACTCTCCAAATACCTTCTGAGAAGGTATGTGGTTCTGTAGGAATTGTGCCAGGGAACATACTCCAACATGGTTTAATTAGGTACCCCCATAACTCACATAGCTGCTCAACAAATGACTGCGTTCATCAACGTAAGTGGTTCTCGCAAACTCCCTTGTTTATAAGGACCAACAAAGAGACCCAGCATCAAACACATGTTCTAAATTGTTCCAATGTCAGGGTCATGCTCATGAATTTTCTGGTGTGTTTTTTGCAAACCATGCTCTGTTCGACTCCAGATCTTCCAAAAAGACACTTGTTTGTCGGACTGAGGACCCATTCCTAAAACCAAGGGCCATTTTCAGAACGCTACTAGGGGCTCCTGGCATCGCTACTTGGAGCAAGGACGCTACGTTCGGGGCTCCTAGGCCGTAGCTACGAACGGAGCAAGATGACGCGGAACAAGAAGCATTACGTTAAGAGGGCTTCATCCCAGCCCCTGCCGCCTCCTGCCGCCTCCTGCCGCCCCGTTCCCAGCGCAGTGGACCATTGCGGGTGTTTCACCCGCCGGACCGGTCACGGCCGAGACACCGGGTGCAGGACCAGCAAAGTGGCAGTGAAGATCCAGGCAGAAAGCCTGCCAGTGTGGGGTCAGTTCGACCCCAAGCGGGCGAACATGGCGAAGGACCAATGGCGGACTGATGGACCAAACAGGAAGCCTCATGTTTTTGCCTGGAAGAGGTCCAGTGGTAAGCCTGGAGGAGGTTCTGGTAGGTATGTGAGTACCTGCCACCAGAATCACTATGCTCTAGTAGGGGTATGGCCACAAGCTTTGGCTTTGTTGTCTTTCACACCTATATGCCTACGGGCCTAGGGCCACTCCCCCGCGGTAGAAAAAAGCACATCGGATCGGAATCATAGATGTGCCCCCCCAAGGCGTCAAAGCCCCAAAGCCCTGATTTGGTTTTCTATAGAGCTATATATAAGTCTTTCAGGATCCCCTAGGGATCCAAGTAGCTTCTCACAAGGGACACACGGATCCTCCTGTCACCTGCTTCTTATAGCGTGGAAGACATCACCTTCGATTTGAGGCGGATCCATCGTCTGCGGCCCGAGTGACTCGCTGTGTCGAATCATCATCACCCAGAAGAGATGGTGATTCGGGGTGTCCATTCTTGTCAATCACCGCCCCATGGCGGCCCTGGGAGAGATCCATGGTTCATGATTTTTGGTTAAGCTAGTCATGGCTAGTCACAGTTCTTGGAAGGTTCCCACTATGATCCCTATCAGTGACCTGAAGTTGATCCAAAGAAACACTCCGACTTGGGAGTGCTGGTCCACAGAAAAAGACCGCCGGTTCCGAGCTCTTTGAACGGACACCATGGAAACGAGCCCAACGGTCAGACCAAGCACATCTTTGTCAAACACATTCACAAGAGACCTGAAAAAAGTCTAAAATGGGTGCCGGGTGTCAACGTCTGAGAGGACCTTGGGGATGAAGAGGGCCCCTCTCGCCGGGTAGAGGTTCCATTCCATCCATCACCGGTGTCTCCGCGTCCACACGTGTCAGGCCATACTTTCCATCGATGTCCCACGCGTCCACGAGCCTCATGCCACCCGCACTGCTCATGCCGTCTTTCAGCGTAGTTCCGGGAGCCTGGCCGTTTTTCGTTTGGATGATGTTGGATGCGTGGACTGGCTGTTGGTGCTGAGGTATGCTGAGGTACGACTGTGGGTCATGGCAGAACCCCTTTCACCAGGGGAGGTTGACCTCTATTCTGCTCTTTCTCGGTAGTCAACCAGGCTGTTCCGGTTTTGACCCACGCTATATAAAGCTGAGGTGATTCTGGATCAGCTGAGGTGACAAATACCCAGACACGACACGACACGACCTGTCTGGGACTATGTATTAATGTTCGGTTGTCCCATGAGCTCCACCAGTTCAACCATTCCAATTGATCGACCAACTATGTTCCATGGAGCGTCCGGATATGTCCGGATGCGGCGGTGTCCAGCCAAGCTGAGGTTCTGTTGATTAAGATTCAATTTTAAGAGGTCACCACCTGCCAACTGTTATTCATCTCCAAAAGCTCACCTGGACTGCACGAGGAGAGGAGACCTGGTAGCCTCAACCTGCTGGTAGTAGTAGCCTGGTAGGGGATTTGGGTCTTCTTTGAGGTTCATTCAAAACACCTCAAAAAAACCTCGGATGCTTCTTGAGCTTCGAAATGCTTCGGCTGTCCGTCACATGACATGCTCGCTTGTGGCTACTCCGGGCCTTTGAGACGAACACATGACATGGCATCCTCCCAAGGCACAGGAGACAAACCGAGCTGAGACGGAAACCAGAATTGGTTTAAGAAAGCCGTAGTCAGTAGTCTTGAAGGTGGAAACAAGGTTTCCTGTAGATGTTTATCTTAAACAAACTTAAAATAAACATATGATCATATTCATGCTCTGACCCTTTCCACCGTTTCAAGCGGTATCATTACGGGCGCTTTCCGCTTTCCCGGCTTCGATGGCCCGGAAATGCATCATCTCACCCTGTGGCCGCCCTGCAGTTGGTCATGTTGTCAATTGCCCTAGGGATCCAGTCGTACCTTCTCAGAAGGTATGACTGGACCCACCCCACTACCCACCCCAAAACACCTTCTTAGAAGGTACTTGGAGCCCTAAATTGTTGTCAATTGTTGGTTTCCTGACTGCAAAGTACTTGCAGTACATCGCCTCCGAGGACAGTGCTCGATTACAGCCAGCGAGCTCTAGGACCTGACCCATCGTCTGTGTGACTTAGGAGATGGCTTCTGCTTGGCATGACTCATCGTCTCAGTGACACGACTCATCGTCTCAGTAACCAATAATCCCTAGACCCTCCAAACACATCCTCAGAAGGTAGTTCGACCCCTCTGGCACCCACCCCAGTCCTTCGAAACGGAGGTGGGCCAGGAGCCCTAGGGAATTATATGGAAGTGGTATCATGCGGTATGCACCGATCTCTTGGGTCTATCCTAATATCTGTAACAGTGGATGATGATGGGGCCTGGTTGCAGGCCTTGTTCTAAACAATAGTCCAGGAGTCACAAAGGGGTGGAGTTTAGTCCCTAAGTGAGTGGACAATGGGCACCCTTAACCTCCATTAAGCACCCCTTGGTGACTGCTGGGTGATTTGCTTGTTTATCCCGACTGTTACAGGTATGTGCGGACAGACCCAACCTATATCGTCGGCGACATTCGTCACTCGCTCGGCCTGTGTGGTGTTCGCCATCGTCGTCGTCGTCGTGGTCGTGGTGGTCGTCGTAGTGGTCGTTGTCGTGGTGGTCGTGGTGACGCCCTAGGAGGCCATTACCCAGACATTCCAAACAAACATTCCAGGTATGGATATATAGGTATGGTATATATATATATGTGGTATATTAATATGCCTACATTCACCCCTGAAACTGCCCCAATGTAGGAATATGGCAAACATGGAGCATCTGGGTACGGGTTTGACAAGGATCTTAGACCTAAGCATCAAACAGGAAGGGTTAGTCTCGGGTCTGGATCCGTGCAAAGGTGTAGGGTCCAACCACTGCGTGTGACATGCTGGGCCCAAGGATTCGCATATATACGTCGTCTTGGTTATATACGCATCCTTCCATCATCTTCGCATTTGCTCGTGAGCCTCGTATGAACCATGATGTTTGATTTGCCCAAACACTCCATGTATGCCATGACCCCCCAAAACCACCCCAATGTAGGCATATATGGCATACATGGAGTGTCTGGGTTGGAACGTCTTATTTTGGGGAACCCAAAGTCTCATCTTGGGGACCACGGACAGGGTCACAAAAGCCGCAGTCTGGCGGCCTGGCACAAGTTTATAATCTGTCATGCATATGTGGGGTCTATCCTATTACCTGTAACAGTGGATGATGATGGTTAGTAAAGGCCTGGTTCAAAAAACTGATGATAATTGTTTACTGACTGTTACAGGTAATAGGACAAACCCTATACATATTCATGTCTGGCACATTGGAACGGGTTTTAACAAGTTGTGTATTCCCAAAAGGAAGATCACCCAGGTCAGGAGGAACCACGCTCTCATCTTGCCGATTTGCCTGATGTTTGAACCAAACTTGATATTGATGTATTGATTGGAATCCGAGCTACCATATCGAGGTGAGATATCATGAGATATCCAAGATCAGTTACGAACCTCAAACCTCAAATAAAACACTACTAAACCATTTTAAAGCAATCATTATAGAAGACGGGTCCTGACAGGTCTACAGCCTATGCGAGGACATGCTCGAGAAGAAAGTGTCACGCAAAACTGCTACAGAACTGCACAAACATGACAAATGCTCGTAGAACTGCACAAGTTGCAGGAACATTCAATTTGAGGCTGAAAACACTTCACATACGATCTTGGCTCCTCTGGGTTAGCCATCTCAATTGCATAAAATTGTTCAAGTCTGCAGCCTAAGGGAAACTTCAACGAACGGAACCAAGTAGCACTGAACATGTTTTATATCATCACACCCTAAAATGAATCTTCATAAAAGCCCCAAAGTATGGAGTTGTCCAAGCATGTTTAGCCATTTTAATCCACATCACACATCTTTTGACACCCCCTGTGGCTCCCTACATGTCGCTATGCCGAATGGAAAGTCGAGCTTCTCTTACTGGCACCAGCAAAGTCTTTGTCCACCAAACGCAAATGTTCATGTCATGTCCATCTACATACGCATGCTGCTAGGGAATCAACAAACACAAAGTACTAATCATATGCTACACTTATTATATTTATATTCGTATTTATATATTTATACATTAAATGTAATGTATGGATGGTGTTCATAGGATCCAAAGAAACGTTATACACAACCAAACAAACAAAACACATCAAACCACCACCACCACCCCACCACCGCCAGCACCAGCACCAGCACCAGCACCAGCACCACCACCCACCACCACCACCAACAACAACAACAACAATTGACCAGCACATGAAATGACCCACAGAGATCAACGGTACCCGGAATGTGCCCGTCCGCCCGTCCAACTCCCGCCGGTCCAACTCCGCCCAGGTGCCAAGATGGCCTCTGACGAGAACGGTGCAGACGGGTGCAGGTGGGAAATGAGGGCTTGCGGCGGAGGAATCGGAGGAACAGGCGGGGGGTAATTTTAGGGGTTGGGACCGTTGTCCGAGGCCTGCAATTGATTTGATGGGAAACTTTACACTGTATTTACAGTGCATCAAAACACGTCAAAAGCCAGTGGATGATTTGGATGATTCACGCCAAAAGTATCAAAAAAGCAGAAACACATCGGATCCAAAGACTTCTCTAAGACTTCTATACATGAAGCTGTCATGAGGTTCATGAGTTTCGACCAGGCCACACCGTTTCGACCAGGCCACACATCTTCCATCATCTTCCATCATCTTCCCAGGTCGGAGCTCCAACCCAACCAGTCCGGCCGATGTCATTGATGGAACGACACCAGAGCCTCTTCCATCCATGTTGGTGATGTCCGATGAGTGGTCCACATCGGTCAACATGTCCGATGTCATGTTGCCAAACATCTGTGATGTTCAATTCCATCCTCTTCCCCTTTTTTTCACTCTGCCCTCGTCTCGAGATCGACCCCAGAACCGAACCCGCCCTTTCCACGCCAAGAATGGCCACCCCGACCCACGGTGCGGTAAGAACAGAAACACACGCGACGACGAAACTGGCCGGCGACCAGAAAAAAACACACAAATCCAACCAATGTTTTACCTGGCCAACCAATGTTTCACTGATCTGAACTTCCGGATCTTTTTGTATTTCTCACATTGCGTGACCTGAAAAAAAACACTTCGACCTCTTCCTCTGACCTCTCGTCATCTTCCTCTCAAGGTCAGTCTCAGGTCGGCGCCAGGTTCTTCTCCTGCACCGCTTGCGATCGCGTTTTGACCTTGCTGGTGGTCGTCGCCGTGGCCACGCCGGCCTGACAGGCCGGACCGTCGACGTAGCTGTGGGCGCGTGGAGGCGAGGTTGGGACACGGAGAGGGAAGGATTTGTTGGGGGCCGACGCCTGTGTCTTCTTTCAGGGAGCAAAAAAGCGGAAAGGAAGAACATAGGACAAAAGAGAATATAGATCATATGTATGAAAAACAACAGCACCTATGAGACAGTTTTCCCAAACTATTATACCTTTATAGTTATGTCCACGGGATTCATGGGTTCATAAGCTGAGCTGCGCAGCGAACATGCCATCTACGAACCAGTGAAGCACTGCACCCTCCAAGCTTCAGACTGGAAGTTCTGCCTCGAGTGCTGCATGTTGCGTGCACACCCCGGTTCTCTAGCCAAAGAACAAAACATATATGTACAGTCAGTCCCGGTGAACACAACAAACATTGTATTCGTCAAGCCAAGTCTCAAAAGCCCTGACAATTCAAAAACATCCTCTCGATCATGGTCCCCAAGTCCCCAATGAATAGCACAAGATTCAAAAGGTACCCGAATATCACATCCTGAAACTCATGGCATCCCTGATTGGTCCCTGTAGTCCAACAAATATATATATATATACATACAAATGTTATTTTTTGCTTCATGATATATATATATATAATGTATGTATATTTACATATGTAGTGTATATATACATATACAATATACATGTGTTTACATATAATTGATATATATATATACATATGTATAAATAATATATAGTTATATATATATAGTATATTATATATTACATTAACAAATCTCAAAATTATCTGCTCCGCTCTGTGGGCTCACACACCTTGACGTTCACGCTGCCCAAGTTGTCCAAGGCGGATTTCATGCCCGGGCTCTGGCGGGTGACCTGGCCCCATGTGGGGACTGATGAAAGAAAACCCCTAGTCACAGTTCGGAGTGATGAACAAAGACTGTAGAGACTACAAGTACCATGGCTCGTTACCTGGGTCTCCTGCCACTACATGCCACTACAATGGCTCATAGAACTTGGATCTACTACCTCTGGGTCTTCTACAAGGTCTTTTAGTAGATGAACACACGTGACCAGAGATGGGAGAGCCTCACAATTTGCTTTCCCAAAAGACTGAAGAAAAAGCTTAGCATTGCTCTCTTTTGAAGGAGAACCTCTCTAGTTCAGCATGCTTCAACAAAAAGGGACCATCTGGAACCTAGTCACAAGGAACCCCATCAGCGGAACCACCTTGCACACGACGCTCAGACCACACGATTTCCAAACCCGCTAAAATAAGGTCCTTGACTTCAGACCCCGTCTCCCCCCTCAGTTCCCGTCTCCGCCGACCATCTTCTTCGCTTGCTGCGCCACTTGGTCGGACCCCACCGATGAGGCTCCTGATGGGGAGAGGAGGGGAGGAGGAGGGTGGCCATCAAAGGGGTTGATGCTATGGGAGCCAGAGGAATGGGTCGTCGCAAAAAACACAACGACTGGAAGAAAGAGAGCTTAGCGAGCTTCATGTTCTTTTTTGCAAAAGCAAATAGTAGTGTAATTAGACTTAAATGGATGAAATGCTGCTGGGTCATCCTTCTCTTTCTGAGACTTGAGGCATCTTTGATGCATGAGATGTATGGTATGGTTGTTTGGTAAAGAATTCCTGCAGAAGTCAATATGTTTGGGTCACCACGCGGTAAATGTCCAGCAAATGCACCTCCGCAATCTTCGATCTGCAGCCAACCATGCACCGAATTGCTTTGGCTACTGCTTGCTTTGGGCTTCGGGATTCAACTTCCACTCCACATGCCACGTGTGCGGCCCGTTCGCGTCCGCGCGCGCGACCGGCGCGGAGGCTCCGTTGGTTTCAAAGCCCAACCTGGTCGAGGCATCGCGGGTCCCGTCTCTGCGCTCTTCAGAGCGCTGCGGACAACACGGAAAGTTCCAGCATGTTTGAATGAGCGGATCAAAAGGGAATGTGTGTGGAAGGTGGAACGCTCATAAATCATGGAACAACATGCTGGAATGTGTTGGTGTTCCAGGTGTGTATTGTTGCGAATCAGCAAAGTTGGGGCGAAAAGAAGGAGTTATAGATGATCGGTTGACTTGTTCTTTGCCAAAGGCCAAGCAGCTGTCATGTGTAATTGCGCTCCCCTGTCAAGAACTATCATTCGCCTTGCGCCATCTAGTTTCACACCGGAGGAAACTCTCCATAATATAGGGGGTGCTTTTCCATTCCAAACACTCACTACAAACATCTATAGACGGTTTTTGAGGAGCGTTTCCGACTACAGCTACTTTCTACTCGTTCTACTGACTGTGTTTAAGTATTTCAAATACCCCTGACACTCCATACCCATTGTTTGCAGTTCAAATCGAGTGGTTTCGAGGGTCCATGTAGAACTCTCTCCCATCAGTTTTAGACCGGAGAGTGTTAAAAAAGAACAGAACCAACCTAAGGCCAAAGGCTGCCAAGCTCATCTCACTCAGTTTAGACCGTCTCCTGTCACCTCTGCAGCTCTCCCATCCCCTGAGCGTCCAGACTCCACGGCTCCTCCGGTGTTCATTCGCCGTGCCGCGGCCAGGTAGCGACCCATGCGTCCCATGTGCTGGGTGAGGCGTCGGGCAGTGCCCGACTGTTTCACCGTGATGGAAGAGGAGATCCTCGGGTCTGAGGTCTGAGGCGGTCTGAGGTGTGAAGAGGTCTGAGGTCTGAGGTGTGAGGTGCTTTTTTTATATTCAGATGTGGAAACTGGCTGTATGGGATGGGTTTGGGAGTGACCAGAAAGGATGAGAAAGGCATCTCATGTGAGTCTAGAAAGAGAGCACATACATTTATCTGAAAAGAACATGTTTAAGAATGTTTCATCTAATTCCTTCATATTGCTTCCAAATTGTCTAACCTGATCTTTGGGGTGGTTGCGGCCGCGGGTCTTGTCTAGCTTTTGCTGTAAGGCCAGGGGATCTCTTAAAGCAACCAGTGGTGAAAAAAGAGTTTTATATCTTTTAATGGGGATAAGCCTTGCTTACCACCCTTTGCCTTCAATTTCAACCTTCCAAAAACTTTGAGGCATCAAACATCTACAAAAAGATATCAAACAGTAGCTGCACTCTCGTTTGGCCCAAGGCACGACTGAGGCAGGTAGAGTTCGGCGTTCACCATCACACGCACATTCTGCGGATCGGTGAAAATGTGCAGAAATCCCACAGAACGTTCCCCAAGAATGCGGGCCGAACTCATGCGTAGGGTTTTGAGGGTCTGGACCCCTGATATGGGAGGGGCCGTGGAGGGCCCAGGGATTCTTAGGGTTGCAAGGTGAGTTGGTGGTCGTCAGTTTCCCTATACACTATACACTCCCTGAAAAAAAAACATGGAAGTGGAACGTAGGTCCCTGGAAGACCCATTTTCTCTACAAACAGGTGGTTTTCACATCCATGTTCATGACTCAAAGAGTAACTATTTTTCCCCCTTGTCCCTCTGCCACGACTTGCCCAAGGCCAAAAACAAAGGAGTACTGAGTATCATGTTTGCTGCACACCAGTGATGTTTGGCAGTGAAATGGGTGGGGCGTAGTGATGTCCCACCTCTTCGACGAGTATGCTCCGGAAAACTATTCCTAATGTGCATCGAGGTTACAGTCACAAAAAAGAACTTGTGGCTAAGATTGGCTAAGTACATATATGAGGGATATATATATATATGGACCCCCAAATCGACGCTAAGAATATATTGGAAACCGTGCCACTATCTTTGAGACCCCCCAGTGACCAGACAGGGCTGAAATCATTGAAAAATTAAAAAAACACAAAATAATCAAAAAATAATCAACTCAAGAACCCAAATCCAAAACAGACTCAACAACAAAACTCAAAACAAACTCAAAATCAACTCAAAAACAAACTCAAAATCAACTCAAAAAAAACTCAAGAACAACTCAAAAACCATGTTTGAGTACAATTTGAGTCCAATCTGAGTCCAATTTGAGTCTCTCAATTGGGTGGCTTTGGAATCTGAGTTTCTGGTCTGAGTTTTTTTGAGTAGGTTGTTGTTTTCTATTTTTTTCATCTTGACCCCTTGCTGTCTGGGTCCGCGTTTTCTTAACACTATCTATTTGGGGCCCACAACTTTTGCTTCGGCAAAAAGAGTTGTTCACAACATTTCCCAGGTGACTCGGTCTCACATCATCTGTCTCTGGTCAAACCCTCGGGCCGTAGGACTCTGAAAAAAAATATACACCATTATATCTCTCCACCATAGTCCAATCATGCGTTTAACGTCTGTTATAATTTATTGGACACTTGCACCTGTTGCCGTCATTGTGTCAGAACAGTTAGTTGACGTTAAAGCCAAGCAGTCTGCGTGTTTTTTTCCCGTGAATCCAACCGGACCAAACAAGATCCTCATTCTCCAAGTCTCCAGGATTACACTCCCGAGTCAACTCACATAGACCCTGACGTCCTGGCCCCCTCTACCAACACAGTGGGTTTTCAGTGTCCATGGATGTGCATGGAATCGTCGTCTCTGTCCTGCCCAAGGGGTGTTTGGGGGTCGCCCTATTCCACCATCCCTACATGGAAGTGGACAACCCCCCTCTTGGTCGAGGAACAAGGTCTTCCTTTTGGGGCCTCGTTCAGAACGTTCACGTCCACTTCGATGATTGTTGGAGGGGAAGTAATACACACCCAACTGCTCAAGTCCAGGGTCATCAATGAAATCCACCCAACAAATAATTGCTATTACATGTGGGCTTGGTGTCCAATTTGAACCACACCGCTTTGCCCGAATATCCAAATCAAAACCCACCGGCAAATGACTCCGTGCGTGGAATCGCACTCAAGATCTTTTCAGTGTTTTGTTGGCATGTTTTGGCCCCTGGGACACACACAGCAGTCTTCAGGAAGAACAACAATGAAGTCATGCATATTATGTGTTTGAGCCATGAGCAACTTATTGTCTGTGGATGTTGATGGTGAACTGCTAAACTGAGTTGCTTTCAAAAGAAGAACTAAATAATCGCTAGAGCCAGAACATGGTCCAGGGTCACACCCTAAATGTTTTACACACTTTCTATCAACAAAAACACGTCAGTCGACGAACAAAAGACAACTATATAAAACAAACAAAACACACAACAACCAAAAAAAAACCGACACTGCGCCGAATTGGCTGCTGGGTCATGGCATGCCGGAGGTCTCTATGTCGGCTGGACGGGTCTGGACGGTTCACGGACCGGGACCGACGACTCGGCTCCTCGGAGTTGCTCAGTGCCGTTGAGGACACCCTGGCGCTCCGGCAGACCGACGCCCCCCACGCGACCGCGGTCCGGTTGGAGCGAGCGTCGGGAGACCGCGGTCCAGTCCGGGGTGAGAGGGGAAAATGGAAACGGTTTGGCCTGTTGGCCCGTCTGACACTCGGGGGTGGAAAGGATGCCCTTTTCAACCATTATTAGGCTATATAGGTACAGTAAATAAACATGCCAAATATGAGGTATCTGGGCTAGTTCTCGATATTACAGCCACTGGGATCTACTCAGAAGCTTAATGAATTCTTAGGGATTCGGGTGGTGCTTCCAAGTGGCTGATGAGAAAGGACGTCTGCAAGCAGTCTTTTTGACGCACTGATGGAATGATTGTTCGATGAGTCCGAAGAGTCGCGAGTCACGATGATCTCCCCCCTCCATGATGTTTCTTACAGCGGTTTCAGAAGAAGTGGCGCAACCCCCAAGATACCTTTCATATAGGGGTCCATATGAACCACCTTTTGTGGATTGTGCCTACTCTGAAACCAATGTATATGTGTTTTTTCATGTTTTTGTTTTTTTCCTGAGAGTCTCCAAGTGAGTGACGCAGTGGTTTTTCGGCATCATGCACCAAACAACCAAACTGGGATGCATGAGTTCTTCAATGCTTTTCAGCATTTCATCGACTGTAACAGGATGCAAAGGGAGTGTTACTGCTTCATCTGCTGGTTCAGCGGCGGATCCGCGGAGTTGTCCCTCTTGGGTCTAGAAACTTCAGTATGCTTTGGCGGCCAACAGTATATCATCAAGTAATATCATTATATATATATATATCGCGTCCCAGGTCACAGTGTCATTTGCAAATATCATGAACAATCATGAAAGATCCTCAAAGTATCATAATATTACAAAGAACATGCATGACATGGGTTGCTAACGGGCTTTGGCTGAAGCCCTGGCACGTGAGCCCTGCGTCAGCCCAGGTCAGCGCAAATGACCGGAATGGCCCAGTGTTGGGGAGGAGGTTCAGCCGTGCATGAACAGGATCCACTAGTCCACTAGGGTGCATAGCAAAAGTGTTTGCTCATGCAAACCTTCAAAGGGGCACTTCTGCAAAGCTTAACATGGAACGCAATATGTACTATAGATGGTATCGTTTGGTGTCATGTATTCAACTCTCAAAACCCGGCAAGACTATTTTTCCCCTTGTGCTTGTATGTTGGAACATCTCCAGTTGCACACCAATTTGCTGGGAAAACTCAACATCACCGCCATTCCCACTCAGGCATGGACGAGTCAAGAGTCAGAATCCTCGGCATATCATCGCAGGGTGGGTCGAAACGATGTCTAGACTTGGAAAGATTACATGGGTTGATGACAGGTACCATATACCCAACCACTCGTCCATGGGACTAGTGACTAGTGAATATATAGTATATTGATCTATGATGATATATGCAACCATTGACTACGGTCCACAGTCTAAGGAGTCTAAGCATCCAATGGTGGATGAAGACCCTTTTCACAAATGACTACATGTCCTCCGATTTCAAGTCAGTGTGTGGTTGAGGTAATGAGCCGCTCACGTTTTGTGGGTCATCATCGTTTGAAATCAGCAGTGGACCAGCAGTGACATGTTTGAGAAATCAAGAGCGAAACCCGACCAACACCCAATCGCCATCCAGCGCCATCCACCGCCCTGGCCGTGAACCCGATCCGCGTCTGTTGGGAGATCGACGGTTACGACTGTGAACCCGACGGCCCCAAGGAGCTTGCCTCGCGCGCGCGTCACCGCCTTCTTGCCACGCGCGTCGCGCGTCGCGCGCGTCGCGCTGCCGGCTGGGCGTCACTTTGGATGTCTGCTTCTCACCGGCGGACACCACTTCCGTGGCGTTGCCACTCTGCTTGTAGAAGTCCTGACGACAAGAAACAGTTGGTGGGCGGTGTACACGAGTGGTCCCAAGACTCAGAAAAGGGCTGGCGGCTGGTGACGGCAGGTGGCTCAGGCAATATATTTTCTGGAAAAGAACGTTGAAACTTCACAGGGTTGGTGGGTCATTCTGCGTCCTGTTCGATGGGTTTTCAGGTGCCATCATAATAGAGGTATTCCTATTGGCAGTATACCTTGCCACTCCTGAAAGAAGACACCTGAAAGAACTTGGTAGATCTTGGACCTGTGAACTTTCTTTCCTTAATTACCAGTGAGTTACCAGAGAGGTCATCTTTACACTCCGGAAAGAAGACACCTGGAGGAACCTAGTAGATCTTGGACATATGTTTGTTCTTCCCCCACAAGTAGGGTCACGTTTAGCCCACGATGCTACTGAAATGTCACCCAAATCACTGAAGGCACTCTTGCATCTCTTTGGAACCCTGATCACTACAGTCACTACAGTTACCGCTACAAACATGAAAAATGGAACGTATGCATCTTAATCAAGTGGCCCACACATTGTGACAACCGTGGCAGAAAAGAATTGGCAAAGCTATCCAAAACTCGCATATGCAATTTATATACATGTGCATCATATAAGACCATACATAACTTGATAAAATGATGTATTATATGTACAGTATAGATATCAATGGTCAGTCAAAACTCAAAGGCAAACGGAAGGGTAGTGCACAGAAAGGGTTTTGCAAAAACCTATTCTACTAACGTCGTGGAAGGCGCGTGACCTTCGTAGAACCCAAGGCTGTTCGTGCTCAGTTCGTGGAATGGTGGGCCAGTAGGAGAACTGACTGCAACGAAATCCCAGAAACCTTCGCAGAACTTCGTGGAAGGTATTTTTGATGCACTAACTTCGTATAAGCGATTTTGCTGACCCCCTTTCTCCACACACCCTCCGTTCAGCCTTCAAAAACCCACTTGTCGCACAGTACCTGGCATTGTTTCCACGCCGGCACCACTGCACCGGAGGCACCTTTGGATGGAAGGGCCGGAATCGGAACAGACGTGGCTCAAAGCCTTCAGACTTGTGCTACACTTCAGACTTCTGCTACACTCCCTGAACGTCTCCATGGTGACGTGGAGTTCACATGAGTTCACCACCTGTTTCGTCTTTGGATTTCATGGTCTTCCTGTCGCGGCCGTGCCATACCTTTCAAACGTGTATGCTATGCCCGGTCCCTCTCGATGAGATGCTGGTTCCGACCATGGAAGACCCATTGACCGAAGCGAACGCTCCAACGAACAGTTCCAACATATTTTTCTTCTGCAAAAAGGACCGCCAGAAGTTCCAACGTGTTTGTTTGTTGTTGCACGTGGCACTGTTTGCATGTCTTGTCATAGTACAGTAGCAGTATAGGGAAGAAACAAACGGGGGGGGGGGTGGCTGTCCATCAACAGCACAGAAACCGGGGGTTTACATGAACGGAGCCCGGTTTCGGGGCGTCCAAGCTCCAGTTCCCTTTAAAGGGATCAAAGGAGCGTCCAATGTAGCCCTTGCTAGGTTTACATGAACATCCCACATAACACATACAACCCATTGCGATAGGATTATATAACAATATATATTGTACACGTTCAAACACCCCAACTGGTCGGTAAATATGCGGCCTGTTTGGAGCGTTGGGGATGTATCCAGGGGTCTAGGCCTTTCATCCATCGCTGGTCAAAGAACTGGGAACCCTAGAGATATTTGTATTTGTTCACCGTTCGCTCGCATGTACCATCAACTTCCGTTCTAGCTCCACCTCTTGATCTGTGTTAATGCAAAGTTACGATTAATAAACCTCCCCTAGTTAATCCGAAGACACAAACCCACCAGAAATTGCCCAAATTAAAAGTATTATTCGTGCCTATTTCCCTCCCTAATTTTCTAGTTGGGCATCAGAAACCCCCCCCAGTTAATCCGAGCCCACAACCAGGTCAATTTCTCGTATTACTACTACTACTACTACTGCTACTACTACTACTACTACTACTCCTACTGCTACTGCTACTGCTACTGCTACTGCTCCTGCTGCTGCTGCTGCTGCTACTGCTACTGCTACTGCTACTGCTACTCCTGCTACTGCTACTGCTACTGCTGCTGCTGCTGCTGCTACGTGCTACTACCACGACCACCACCACCACCATCACCACCTACTACCTACTACATGTTTGATGAAATCCTTAAAAATGTCTAGGGCTCAGGGCCTATAAATTGCCTTATTAAAAAAAAAACAATTAAAAACAATCATTTGACAAGCTCACAAAGGGTACCCCTCACAAGGGCCGGTCCCCTATCAATAATCTGCACTACTACCCCCTATTAATTTGATCCTGTGTCCCTGGCCTTTTCTTTGTGCTTGTTTAAACTTGTTGTGACTACTACTACCTACTACCTACTACCGACGACGACTGCGACTACGATGGCTCCCTGAGCCGATAATTCAGGGGAGGTGGACCTAATGAGTGGTATCTCAGACCTTCTTGACCTTGTTGACCTACCATGTGGGGGGGGGGGTTATTAATCGGAGGTTTGCATTACCTTGTTTTGTTTTCCGCTACAAACCAAAATTAAAACAACTGCCGGCGGACACTTTCTGGTGTAAAGGAAGATTGATCCAGATCTGTCATCAGGGTCGTGTTCGAATCAGGTTGTTTCGCATCAAAGGTGAATGAATGGATGTCCAAACGTGTCCAAAATAAATGGCCTATGCTGCAGCACCTTGAATCTCTAATCTTTTCTCTGGAGGTGTTTGATCAGGTCTGGAAGCATTGGCCAACCGGATGATCAGCACAACTCTAAGTAATATTCCACATGTCCTCCCTTTCCTTCCAATTGGGTTCATGGCCACACGGAATGTACAGTATATAGTTCGACACTCTTGTGATCATAAATAAGGAAATCATAGGACATCCCTGGAAATAACCCCTACATATTCAGAAGTCCCCCAAACATTCCTGAGACACCAGTGCCAAAAAGGACCGGAGTCACCGCAAACACAATACCCCAACTGGTGTCAAAACCAGGGAAAGCTTGAGGAATTCCAATGACCCTCACCCAACTCGATGCTGCGCGTGGTCATTGAAATCATCGATACAGAGCGCAAAATCAAACACGTAGGAAGTGAAAATGGTCAGTTCATGTCAGCTTTAAGAACATGTTATAGTAAATAGAAGTGAAGTATCTAGAGAATTCAACTGACATCTGATCCATTCCGATCTGCTGCTTTTGGGAACCGAAAACGAAATATTTTGGCTGTTGGATGCCCCCAACTCCTGCCCAAAACATCCCACTACATATCAACCTCTTGGTGTTCACTGTAAATTCCAAACTCTTGGTGGACTTCTAGTAACTCAGTGGCAAACAATTCGATGTTTGATCAGCTAAGCTGATGTGGACGTTGCTAGGCCCCCAAGCACTTCTTCATGTTCCTGCCTGGCGGGCATTCCTTGGTGCAGCCTGGGATGGATAGATTCCCTCCGACCGAGTCCCGGAGGGAATTCGACGAATCCGAGTCTGAGGTCCATCGACGACGGGCTGCGCCAGGTTTGGAGGGTCAGGGTGCAACCCAGACACTCTCTGTACGGAATATATATGCCGCCCCATTGGCCCCTGAAATCACCCCAACGGAGGCATATCTTCCATAGAGTGTCTGGGCCTGCTGTAGAGGGTCCAAAGATTCGTCTTGGGTAGCTGAGAACGCTGACATTTTTGTGGACCTCCTTTTGAGGGATTTCTGTGGATTGGAAAACTGACATCTCAGGTTGAACCCGACAAACTCGACAAAGTACTGGTTAGACAAAGTCGACCATGTCACAAGACCCGGATTCACCGTTTGGACCAACAAGTGACCCATACGAATGGCTTTTGGATGCTTTTGGTATCTACTACTTGAGAATGACTGTGCATGGAAAACGATCTGATGGATTTTCCAACTGATGACTATGCATTCTAAAGGTCACCTCTTGATCTCAACTTTGGCACTTGGTAGATGCAAGGGTCATATCCATTTCTTAAGCTTCATTTAACCGCCGTGCCGTGCCAGCAGTCTCCTTGAGTCACCTTGAGTTCCCACCGGCTGATGCCCCCTTTACAATGGAGCCATATGGAGCCCCTGGGTTTGAGGATGGGTCCAAACCCTGGATCACCCTGAACATGAACAGAATCGACTACTAGCCCATACTAGCCCTAGACCGGTGAACCTGGTTTTGAAGGTCAACCAGGCTCCGGCATTGGATCGGCCATCTGCCACTCGGTGGCTGATCGTCTCTGAGAGGAAATCGCCAGTGCTCGAGAGATGAGTCCTGGGCGGGACCCGGGTTGGGCGGGAACCGGGTTGGGTGCGGGTGGAATGGGAGGGGCAAAGGCGGACGCGGACGGGCTGTGCATGCAAAGGAGGAAGAAGAAGACGAAGCGGAAGCAAACGCAAGAAGAAGTACTCTCCTCCCACTCATGGAAAAACAAAACGAGCATCTTACATCATCTTACCAAAGGATCCTGTTCCTCTACTCTGGTGGAATGAAAGACTCGGAAAGATCCACCGTGGCCGAGTGTCTCAACTAAACGGCAGTCTTGGTTTTCCCCCAAGAAGCCCAGGTTCAAAGGACGAGTTGCCAGCCGCTGCGAATCGGGTCGTGACCACCGGAGGCACCCAAATCGCCTTCATGGGATGTCACTGGTACCCCAAGCACCAACTCTTCTGACTATAAGAGCTCTTTGTCTCACGTGTGTCACTTCTGCCAAGACTCTGAACGCAGGTCTTGTTGCCTCCGCAGCAGACGGTCTTCAAAACAAACCGCTTTTGGGCGGTATTGGATCGTGAAAGAACCTCAAAGAACAAGGGATCTTTCATGATCTTTCCAAAAACGTGGCTACGAAAGGAGCTAAACCGTCTCAAACCAATCGGGACCCCTCAAAACACAGAGCAATCTCTGGACTTTGAGTTGCGGCACTTTTGCGCGGTCGGCGGTAGAGGGTAATGTTAAAATCTTGCCAAGGCCCATCATTCACATACGGGACACGCGCCATTTGCATCGCATTGCCACTGCAAGAGACACAAATTGATTCTAATTACATGGGTTTCAAAGAAAACACATGTTGAGCCAAATTAGTACATGCCCTTACAAACTCGATTTGTGCATAGAGGCTTGTTCAGTGATTCATTTTTGTGGTGTGCCTCAACTGCCCCATCTTCTCTGTTTGCAACAATTGTTCCCCTTCTAAACAAAACACTCAATTGATCACAGTTGAATAACATGGAAACGTATCGCGGAAGTCCCAGACTCTTGTGGGACATCTATATGTAGAACTGCATGGGTGTTGCTTTACTTTGTTTCTGCCAGCCAAGGACACCCCGCTCTGCTAAGAGTTTTTCAGTGATTTTTACGGTAATCCCCTCATGTCAAAGGACAGTTCCATCATTTTGGAAGAGAATCAACGTTTTAGACATGATGGAACTTTCTTAGAAATGATCTTCGTTTTGGAAGAACATTTCAGAATGAACACCAGCAGAGTGGCTGCACCTGCTTGGTTTTCACCTGTCGGACGACACTCGGGCAGTGCCCCCTGCCTTGCGCTTCATCGTCTGGGGTGCATGGCTTGGGGCATTTGTTCAGTACGCTGCCTGAGGGCAAATGACCGGTTTCTTTACGCCACCCACGGAGTTTCTGGCAGGTTGCCGTGTCAAGCTGGACGGCGGACAGGAACATATCTGCAGACAAATGGTTCACCTTTTTTCGACTTTCACGCTTGATGAGACCATATGGTTCACCAGGTCAGTCAGAAAACTGGGTTCCGATTCTCTTCCTCGGTCTGCTAGATCGGCCGAAAGATTCCAAGGCGGATCGGCAGATCGGATCTCTAGAGATCCGTTTTTCTCATCGAAGACGTGGTCCCGCCGGTTCCAGAACGAAAGGAGAGTCCCCGCTGGTTCCATGGAACACCAATTGGATGGGGCCCCGGAGAACGTGACATTTGACTCTTTGACATTGGGAATTTCCCAATATCACCCTTGAAGGCAAGCACGAAAAAAGCTTCCCCAAGCACACCCCGTGCCAAAAACAACCATCCCTTTAAAAAGAAAGAGGCAAGGCCTGCCATTCTTTGAGGAGTTACGGCAGGGGAAACCATCCATCTTAGATTGACTGCAGACTTTGGTGTGTCTAAGATTGCACCACTTCGCAAGGCACCAACGCGCAGTGTAAGGGGTTTGCGACACTGTCAGGAATCCGAGGCGTGGGGATCCCAAGAACTCATGGGAGGCCCACATCAGTTGTGCATGCCAAGAGACCAGCATATTTGGGTTCGCAAAGGTTGTCTTCTGCATCCTGAGGCGTGGGCGGCGGCACGGTGCGAGCGGCCAAAGTAGCCCTAGCAAATGAGGTCTACAAACGTCACAACATCTGGCACCTGCTTTCTGGGTTGTCAGGCGGTGCCCACGGTGCCTTTCGTCCATGATAGGTATCAAGAACATCCGGAAGAACACCACACCTTATCATTTCTTGGTTGGCAGGCATCTCAAGGCTTCAAGGATAAGAAAGTCAAGTATATAACTAGTATAAAATACATTTGCTATGCTGTCAAAAGCCTCCCCCTGTATGCATAGTATTGTATAATCAATTCACATGTACGTACTTAATGATATATATATAGTATATATGACACCATAAAGCCTCCCCCCGCCGTGGTTCCCTGATCCACGTTCCGTGCTGCTTGACCTCTTGAACCCGGGCCCGCACACGCCCCGCGACTCGGCTCGGCCGGCCCAAGCCCACCAAGGGACATTGGGATCGGAGCACGTGAGCCTCGGATGCCGGTTCCATGGGTTTACCTGACTTGGATGTGATAGATCCCAAAGAATGGCGTTGTTGGCACACAATTGGCCGAATTCAAGAATTGGGTTCTTCGAAAAGAAACACCACCGCAGGTGCTTTCTAGGAGAAAACCAATTGTTTTTTTGTGAGAAGTCATCTTAAATGTGCCTATATGTAATATACTTGGGCATGGCTAGAATCAAATTGAACATCCCTTAGCTCACAGGTGGCAGCTGGAAACAGGATGCTTCGTTACCTTGTCCCACCCAAGTTTCCTTGTACGTACACCGACCGACCGGTGCAACCAACCAAATCCTTCACCACTTGTCCGGAGAGACACAGAGAGCACTGCAGCGCACCAGGCAGCTACAATATAGACTCTGTTGATATCTAGTTGATTATATTGCAACCCCCTCGACATGGAGAGGTGTTACAAACCATGTCTGGGGATGCATCTGCCATGCTGGTTTGCCCGTCTGTGCAGTTTGTTACGTGTACTCTAGTTCCTCGAGACTCTCACCTACTCTACTCATACCCGCTGTAAGACACGGTAAGGGGTGATGTAGAAGCGTCCCAGGACCGCAAGTGAGCGCATCCATGTCTGGGGAGGGTTGATTCATGAACAGTCTACAATTACGACCTTAAGCCCATGTCACAAATGCTGGGTCCCGGTTTGTTTTCTATGTGATCCGCTCCTGTTCTTCCGCCAGGGCACGTGTTCTTTCCGCAGGGGCACTTGGTGTTCATGGCTACACAAACGGTGTTCATGCCACTCAAGGTGCCTGCGCGAGTCCACACAGAGGGGGCAAGGACTAGAGACGTGGTCACATCCGAGCAAGTTGCTGGGTTTTGCCCTTTCAAACCGCATAAAAATTGTAGAACTGCTGTGAGTGGTGGGAAATCTAGAATGAAAAGAAGTGAACATGGACTGTTTTGCAAATTGGAAGAGTCATACGTGAAACCAGTCTGGGGGCCCATATCTGCACAAGCGGAATTTGGTGGTGGACAGTATCAACAAACTATTTATTTGTGATTCCAGAATTGAACTAGGGCCCTGGCTTGGGAATATCCAGGTGTCACTATCTTCAAACAGCTTCTACAATCGATTCAAGCAGAACAACACTAAACCCTGTTTGTTTTGTCCAGCAATTTCCAATCAGTTGGCTTGAGAGATCCTTCGGCCTGCGCAGTCTCTGATTGAGTGCGGGTCATGGCACCCCACCCTACAAACCATGGTTTGGGTTGGCACCCGGAAAAACATATATATATATACACATATTATAGAGGAATCTGCAGAATTTTCAGGGGTCAACCAGGGTTCCAGGGTTTTGACATGCTTTGACCCACACTCATACATAGTGTGTAGTAGCGTGTGTGCATGTAAGTCTGACTGTATGAGCATGCAAGTGTAGACCTTCGAATGGCTGGCTGATCAGCCCTATCAAATCAGTCGTTCCTCCTTGGCAGGCCTACAATAACATAAAACTTGGATATCCAGCATGCAGACTGATTCAAGCATCAAAAAGAACCTGTCTCCCAAATACTGCTTCTGCTGGCCCGAGGTCCCTGAACTTACTCCCAGATCCGAGTCCATTTCTCCCTACCTTCATCTGTCATTCCCTACTCATCCTTCGTGTTCCTACCTGTGCTGGTGTAGTCCATGACGTCGCATTGCTTCTGCGACTCTTTGCATGGGCAAACCACCGACGCTTGCGACCTCGTGAGCAGCCGCGAGTGGTGAAACGGCAGCGGCACCGGTAAAGGGGGATGGGGATGGAGGATGGGAAGGTGTATAGACCTCACCTCCCAGGCCCCCCTGTGGAGAAGGAAAATAGACCAGTCTAGTCTACATGTAGGAGATCTTAGTGTTGGGCATTACAAAGGAAAAAGTGTCGAACCAATGGGAAAAAGGATGTCTTTCAGAGCGCCAATAAGACACTGATATCAAACTACAAGGTGATGTAATTTGACATCTAAGCAATCTCCAGAACATGGGTTCATGATGGTTCATGATGGTTCCTTATGGTTCCTTATGGATCCATGGACGTTCATAGTTCATGGACGTGCGGACCTTCTTAACCCATGACATGGCCAGGGTCACGGAGCCATGGAGCCATGGAGTTTCTAGGCTTCCTTGATCTTGGCGACTCAGAGTCGGCCAAGTCCTGCCGTTGCCACTCCTCACTGTCTGGCGGTTCTCCGGCCCGCTGGATCCGGTCGTGGTCTCGTTCTCCTAACGCCTTCCAGGGGCGGTGGTCTCCGGGGGGCTGTGCCGGCGTAGCGGCTACTTGTTTCAGATGTTGGGCTGCTAGACTTGCTCGACTTCAAGTCCAATTCATTGGCTTCAACCCACGGTTCGTCCCCCAGCCATCCTCGCCGGTTCCCCCGCGCGGGCGCCACCACGGCTGTGCTTGGAGCCACTGCAACGATGGGTTTTTTTCCCGACGAGCCCGGGCAGTTCAGTAGCCGAGCAGCGCAGGCAAGCAAATATCTTCACCAGGGCAGCGCAGGGTGTTCGTGCCGCAAGGGCAAGTCTGGTCCTGCCGCAATTGCACATGACACAATAGAAATGCAGCACCACCTGTGTGACATCGATGTTACTTTTCTTCAACCTTTCGATTTGTGCTTGGTTGAGTCCACAGTTGTTGCCCCAGCCAGGATCGTGCAAAATGATTTCAGTTCTCAAGAGTGACGTGTCTTCTTGAGTGCAGGTATGTCAAGGTCGCTGTCTTCAGGCTCTAGTGTCAAAAGGACCTGTTGAGCCATCGGGCAAACAGGTCTCTGTCTCAAGGAGAAGCGTTTCCCTCAGACCCGCGATGAGTAGAACATGGACCCTGTGGCGCATATAGAGGGGGGTCATATATAGCGGCCGACCAGGTCTCCTATGTTCGGTACCCCACGGGTATTCGGCACCACAGCGGTATTCGACCCAGCACCGTTGCTATTAGGGCCGGGCCGGAGCACCAAAGATTTACATGAATGTACACTGAATAATAATTAAAAATAGATACAATTTACATATGTCTTGGTTGAGGAGTCTTCTTGGGACAAGGTCCTTTGGAACTCCAAGTAGCATCGATTATCACATCTCAATTGAAGCTGAGGATGGCCCCATCTCAGTGATAGAATCGGGGATTCTTGTGGTGTGTCAGAATATAGACCCTGAAGTGCCTTGTCCCCCTTGGCGTAGCAATAAGAACGTCCATAGGTTGACTCGTCACGGTGTCCATGTACTAGTGACTTTGGGGGCTACCCCGTGATCTTGGATTTGCTTAAGGAACCAATACAAATTATAATTAAACATTGAAATATAATACCACATCTATGTCCTAGAAGGGAATTCAGGGAAAACCAGTGCCAAAATAATTGGCAAATCAATGCAAATCACCCTTCTTTCGAGATTCCCCATTTCCTGCCACTTCGGCTCTCGAAGCACTCACTCCCTCCTGTGGGATACAAACCTCGCGATAACCTCAAAGCGGCAAAAGTGGCGGGGAGAGCCGCCCGCCGTGATGAACACCCACCCTTGGGTGCGGCCCGTCCCATGGATGTGTCAACATCAGGAAAAATAGAGAACGCAAAAAGCGCCGCGTCAGCCAGCGACTCCGTTGAAACAGACCGACCAAGGGATTCGAAGCGTTAAACTTACCGACTGATGCTCTGCAAAGCATCAAACAACCCTTTTTGCGTGCGACAAAAGGAGGATCTCGACCCTGGAGGTACCCTGGTGGTTAGGGTCGGTCATGGGTATCGTTCTTGTTCTGAAGAAGCATGGTATCGATCCATGGGCATTTGAAGGACAAGTACAACACCCAACACGTAATCTCCCATATAGTCCGACTTCTCCGTTTGTCTTCTCTTTACCTCATGTTACTTCAAGTATCTTCAAGTCGAATGACATTGTAGGTACAGAATACTACTGTATCCAATTGGAATTCCTCAGCCCACATCCGAATGCTTGGCTGGGGTTCTATCCACCAGGATCAGTGGGACCAATGGTAAGCCTTCGCAACAAAACAATTCCGCCCTCAAAGCAGTGCAACTGCTGGGGAGGGAGTCAGATCTCGGGTCAGCATTTTCTACATCTGATCCTGAAGGCGTTTTCCAAGAAACCGAGAATTGGAATACACGAAACGAAAACATCACCTGGAAGTGGAGTTCACCACGTGTTTGTAGAGAAAACAACAAAGAATCCATCGGGGCCATGCCATGCACGTAACCATGTAATCTCTGGGCCTTCCAATGGAATCAAAACCCATACCTTGGATACGAGAAAAGTAAAACATCCAAGGCGCTGATCCATTCGCCGTTGGTGTCAAAGTCATTCAGCCAACACTTGTGTTGGGTGTCGCTGCAGGTCACTGGGCAAAGCTCATCCTGATGAGATAGACCACCGGTGCGTGTCGATACCGGTGGGTGGTAGAAGGAGGGATTGTAGGATATTATATATATATATGGGTATTTATTTTAATAGGGAGACTCCAACCAATGGCTCTGGCCTACTTTCTCCTATAGGGGATCCTGGGGAGGTCTACTGTACCTATTTTAATTAATACACACCCATATGATCCCATATGATGTTATATGTACACCACACCACAAGCGTCTGTGGAGTCAACCGGTTGCACTCGTAAAGGACATGTCATGAACATCTAAGTCAGTTGCCTCACCTCAGGGATCTGCAGGGGAGAGGGACCCTGTCCATAGTATGAGAAGATCCCTGTCCTCTACAGGATTCTGAAGCAAGTTTATTCGTTACTATGGCCGTTTCAATCAACCCGTGGCCTCATTCGTTGATGAATCTCCTCTCAAACAATCATTATTGTAACAAGAGTCCACGATAGTCAAAACGGTCGGCGAAGAGCAGCGCCTGCTGAAAATTTGTTCAGGGGTTCTTTTGCATGTCTTTCGAACCTAATTTAAGATAAGCAGCACACACAGTACCGAACATACAAACTTCTCCATCCATACTGAAGCTCACCTATATTACTATAATACTTCATATAGACATATACTAGGTATAGACCACCAGAAGTTCGACAATGCTGAAATGAAGTCATGTTGGAAAAACAGAGAATTAACATAAATATACATATATACACTATTCTTGATCCTTTGTATATCTGGATGTGTATATTCGTGATTTTTAATGTATGTGTGTGTGTTTTACCTTCAATGATCTAAATAGGGAGCCCCCGTCGCCCAACGGGTAGGACGGGTCCTATTTCCTGCAGACGGGTCCTGTTTGTCGACACCGACACGAGGCATCCCGGTGTGTGCAGTCCTTGAAGACGCAGCCGACCCAGCCGCCACAGTTCTTTGCCTGGCTTAGGTAGTTTGTTAGTTGATGTTTCTTCTTCGGGTGGTTGGTTGTTCGCGCAACCTATCACAGCTTCTTCAAGTTGCATGTGTCCTTTGTTCCTTCTCAAAGGGTGATACTATAGATTGGTCTACTTGTGTCTAGTCTCCTTGTAACAGGTCCATTGCTTATATTGTAGTTAAGTATAAGTTTACAGATTGCACCTGAACAGGACACCTGCAGGCAGGTGCTTTTGACATCGGAACGCGTAGGCAGCCAGTTGTTCCAAATCTTTCGCCAAACTAAAGAGGTTTTAAACCAGTGAGGCAAACAGGATTGGGCCACATATCTATCTAACATGTTTAACACCTGCATCTTGTCACAATGAGGGTTATCAAGCATGCAAAGCATACTATTGTATTGAGTTTTCCGAAAATAATACTTCCTCCTCGCTTCCGCCTCCTTCCGCCCCATTGAGGAGAACAACACAAATGTCTATGTTGTTCTTCTTTTGTTGACCCACAACCATCCACAACCTGTTGATTAGGATGTGTTTTGTCCATCTATTTTGGGGCGTAGAAGTAAGAGATGATACAAACTGAGCAAGCGTCCCGAAAACCATCGCGAGATTCTGTTCCCTCGTTTCGAATACCATGAGAACCCCTATAGCGGTCCAAATCGGTCAAAGCTTCATCCTGAATAGGCCACATGTAGGAGGCTCTAAGACACCGTTGCCATGCGAGGAAACAGCACATGGCACCAAACACAAACACAAACACTCCAAGAACGAAATGTCATATACCTACATTGGGTGTCTTGGGGTGGTTGAAAAAAGGGGTCAATGTAGGCATCTACTATGCATAGTCATAGTGGTAGCACTTCCACAGCATGGACCACTCTCGCAAAAACAATGAAGTCAACCATGGTTCATGACTTACGGCTTACCAGAATGCGATTGAACGGCAACGGCCCTTTCCAAAAGGCAACTTTGCTCTACAAAGAGGTCGCTTGCCACTTCCATGTGATGAGTTCATTGTTACGTTACAGTGTTCAATTCGAACTTGTGTCTATTTATATGTACAATCTATCCCAGACACTCCATGTATGTCATATATGCCGATCAGTTGGGGTGGTTGACTGGGGGTCAATGGGGCGGCATATATGGCAGTCCCATGGAGTGTTTGGGATCAATGTCATCTCTCCCAGCTTTTGGAGCTCCTCAAGTTCTCTGCCCGCTCTCCGGGGTGGCACCTCTCGGCCGCAGCCGCAGGCATCGTAGTTGGCGGCGCAGGACTTGGGCGGAGCCGACCAGCCTGGAAGCAACCGACCAGCGGCTCGGCTCATGTGAACGGAGCTAGAGGGGTGGTGTCCACGGTGGTGTTGGAGAATGAGGTATTGAGGTATTTGGAGAAAGCTTAGGGATTGAGGTATTTGGAGAATTTGGAGATGTTTGGGGTGGGGTTTGGAGTCTGAACTAGAGAAGGGTGGTGTAAGAGTCCCGGGCATCCCAATCTAGTGGGAGATGATGGTTGATAGCGATCAATACGAGAAGAACACTATATAGTTGTCCTAGTGGGCTGTGGACTCTGCTGTGTGGCCCTTAACGGTCATCCTACAGGCCACCGGAAGACCACCCTAGTACTTGGAATAAGTGTGATCAACCACACTGATGGAATACAACAACATTGCAAGTTTGTTCACTACCTTGTAGTAATCACATGTTCTTCAAGGGCAATAACCACTCTCACCCAGGCAAAACACTAGGGAAAAAACACACACAAAGCTAGGACTGTGTATCGGTGAGCCACATCATCTTTGCCCCCATGCTGGAAGCAAAAACTTAGAAGAACCATGAACAAACCTTGTTCTCTGATTCTCACTGATTCTCTACTTGGATCAATCACTTAAATTCAGCCCAAAGGGTCGCCCAATGGATCTTCTCTCATTGGATCCACTGACTGTCTTCTCGTCCCAACAAAATCCTCTCCAACCAAACGGACCCTCCCAAGGATCTCCCTATCAACTCCGTGCCCGGTGGTGTCGTGCCTGTGGAGGTGCCGTTGGGCATGAAATTCTCCACCTGGCCGCACCGGCTCGGGACTGGGGAGAGACGCAGGCCCCGGTGAAGAAGGCAGTTGCCCAAAGACTGGAACTGACGTGATCCAAAGAGTCCAAGATATAAAGATGGATGGATGGATCGGCGAGCAGAATCGTTCCTATCATTTCTCCAGATCCTCTGGCTTTTCGACGAAACGACACACAGATCGGATAGATCGGGCGCTTTCTCGTCTGGGATTCCTTCGCTGTTCTCGTGTTCTCGTCTCTCAGTTGTCTGCACGACATGGTCGTCCAAAACCACAAGAACACTGCAAGCTTAAGGAACCGGGAGAACAGAACGTAACAATATGGTTCCCCATGTCGTGTGACTCAATGTCTGTTCAACCTGCCACCCCTTGATTCACGGTGGAAACGGGTACAATGGCTTGGACAATAAGCAGCAAGAACTGAACCAGGACTGACGTAATTGATAACAGTTGACGAAGCTCACCGAAAACAATGACCAGGGGGACTAAAACCACAGGGACGAAAGAAGCAACTTCATGGCATCTCATCAAGAATGCTATCCAATGACACACAAAATTGCGCAATATGACTCAAACTGTGCTTGGAACCTATAAGTTGAACATCAACTTTACCCAAAACGGATGCGTCAAGAATATCTTTAGAAGAGATCAGAGGTAAACGCACGTGAGAGATGGCACAAGTTGTGGGTACTGTCTGAGAATCGAGAACATGATCACATTTGGTGTTCAAAACTGCAAACGTCTGGTCCATCTTCGGCTAGATGGGGCGACAGTGCCATGTCGACAGAGCTATGTCGCCAAAAAACAAGTGCTTTTAAAGCCCAATTGGATCATGATCATGCGGATAGAATACGATGGTCCAAACTTGCGAACGGGTACGGACATTTTGGTGTGAACGTTCCAAAGTATTGTACCAAACCCAAACACTCCATGTATGTCATATATGCCTACATTGGGGTCGTTTTGGGGGTCAATGTAGGCATATATGGCAGTCCCATGGAGTGTCTGGGCAAATAACACATAATAAAACGTCATGGTTCATACGAGGCTCACGAGCAAATGCGAAGATAATGGAAGGTGGTTAGACCCTATCTTCTCACCCACCCCAACCATCTTCGAAACGGAGGTGGGCCAGGAGCCCGAGTGCAAATCGTGTGAACCAAAAGAACACCCGCAAAACCAGGGTCTCTCGAGACCCAGGGTTTTGCAGAGTGGTTTTTCACACCCAAACGAATGGCTGTGGGGGAAACAGGTGAACCCAGATGTTCCAAAAAACATGAACAGAATAGATTTACCATGATTTAACATGATTGGTTAAACCTATCAGCCTATCAGAGTTTGGAGCTGTTTAGACTTATGGTGCCATGGCCATGTATAATGAAACCGCAGTGCTGCGCCTCGGGACATGTGATTTGTCCGCTGGCGCAGGTGGGTGGGCACCAGCCTGACACGGGTGCCCAATGAGGAGTATTCCGTATTACAGTATTCCAAACTTGAGGCCAAGGGGGGGGGCGAAAGCTAGCGCTCCAGAATGGGAAAGTGGAGGGCAGCGAGGTAGGAAAAAACACGGCGCTCTTTTTGGAGGCAGGGGTGAAGAGTCCTTTATATGTGGCTCTTTGCCCGGATCCTCCTGCGAGAGAAGAGAGAGAAGAGAGACGGAAAGACGAGAGACAGAGAGGAGAGAGAGAGAGAGAGGAGAGAGAGATGAGAGAGATGAGAAAGAGATGAGAGAGATGAGAGAGATGAGAGAGACAGTGAGACAGTGAGAGAGTGAGAGTGAGAGTGAGCGAGTGCGGCCGCAAGATACGCAACGCTAACCGCATGCCAAAGAGCCACGACAGGACGGAGTCGAACTTGCGAAGAGGGAGGAGGGAGGAGGGAGGGAGGGAAGATGGGAGGAAGACAAGGAGGAGGAGAGGGGGGGAGGTGGGGAAAGGGGAGGTGGGGAGAGGGGAGGAGGGGGGGGGGTCTTCGACCTGAATAATCAGGGGTTAGGATTTGCACCCGGTCGAAAGAAACCTTGCTATCGCAAGAGTAACTCCAGCTAGCTTCGCTAGCTTTCGTGACATGGTCCACCTAGCTTCATGGTCAAATCAGTGAAACAAATGGTTGGATGCAACCCATCAAAACCATCAAACAAACAGCTGATCCTCCAGACAAATCAATGGACAAAGTCGGCCTCCCGCCAAGTAATATACAGCAAAAACCGGTATGTATTAAGCAATATTTAGGCAAGTGCGTTGTACTTAGCAACACATTTCATCAGGTGGTAAGCTTGATGGGTAGCTTGATGGGTAGCGCAGTTTGCGGACGGTGATCCTGGTATCTCGTCTTGGGTCAAACGTGGTACACGACGGGTTTGTCAATAGCTTAGTTATGCTTGAGGGGATTGGGGCGGAAATTTGTTCAGCACAGAGTGTACAAACACATTTCCCACCATCAAATTAAATTACTGATTGCAGCAAATAAACACAGCGCCCACTCGCGGCTTAATGTCTGCCAAGGTGTATTGTTCGTGAGTTGCTTGGATAGGGCAATCCGCGTAATTGTGCAATTCAAATCAAGCTTGATAGGCTGCACATGTTCCTCCATTTGGTGCACTTCATACTACTTACATTCTACATCATTCTAAAAATACACGCATATGATTAATTACATTTAATTACATTATGTATACAATTAATATTGTAACATTAAGTAATTAGAATGTATAGTATACAGTAGTTCTAATTAATTCTACACATATATATATATATAACGTATATAATGGCATATCAAAGCCAGTCTTACACAAAGCCTATCGCTTTCACGTCGCTCGGCCTCCCTTCAGTGCAATGCATTCCTGCCAGTAGTTCCCAAAGCCATCCTCGGACGTCCGGACGGCGGTGTCTCGGCGTCCCGAAAGACCGGGATCCGACGCTCGAAGCTACATTCGCACATCCAGTTCAACCCCGCTGGAAGAAGGAACATAGACCAGTCTACCCGGGCCAGGCGCTCTCCCTATTTAAGTCTTGCTATTTAAAACACACCCAAATGATCCCAAATGGTACTCTTGCTGTCACCGGCGCGACTCGCAAGGAATTCTGGTCGCTGGATCTGCGGATCAGCCGCCCTGAGCTTATGTCCGTTGCTTCGCTTAGGAACCAATCCAGCCATCCAATGTCTGTCCCTACCGATGCATCGTCCATTTAAGGCTTTTCTGGATCAGGCTCACACGGCCTTCCCTGCCAGTGCCGTCCGCACCGTTCGCGACGTCCCGGTGAAAGCGGTGAAAGCGAACCGACCAGCGGTTCGCGCGGCCATCCTTTGGGCCATCCGGCTCACTCATATCTTCTGCTTGAAGTGTCCTGGTGTGGAAGAAATGCTTTAAAGACTAGACATCATATTTTGCAGTTGCAGTCCCACACAGCTTGCCCCTGAAATGAAGAATAAAGAAGAGGGTGCCATAGGTACAAACCCTGAGATGTGAGCCATCACTCAAGTATACTCAAGTCCTTGAAGTACATAAACCATCATAAACCTGTTGCGCTCCCCCGTTTCATTTGTTTGGACGCCATCGTCGACGTCCCTGCCAAGGGTCGGTGAAGTTGCAGGATCTGGCGTTCTGCCCCTGAGAGCAATCGCATGGCTGTCCTTTCTTCACCTCAGGACGGATGGCGGCGATGACAAGATTTCCACCAGCCAGGAATCTTCGCAAATGTGTCATATAATATATATATATATATACGATATATATATATATAACTACATTATAATCAGGGTTCATCAGTACAACGGCTATATAATAATCATTATTTCATTTCCTTATCCAATCATATACATCACCAAGCTAGCATGTGCTTCAACACATCAGAACACACCTCTGGGTCATACAGCATGAAGTCAGGGGCGGTGGTTTACACTGAGACCCTGACGAACAACTGTATAATTGCCGATTCTTTGCGGGGCTTCCCCATTCCCGGCGAGCTGGAAGACGATGGTTAGGTAGTGAAAATCCTTTCCCGACGGTCACGGGCAATGATTCTTTATCAAAGATTATCAAAGAACATTGCAAACATTGTTCTAACATACGTGATCTTCTTGTTGACCGACGGCTCGTCCCTGGGAGGCTCGTCCCTGGGACAGACCCGTCTACCGCTTCTTAGGGTGCCAGAACTGAAGAGTTGACCACTTGGGACCGTAGAAGACCTTTGGGAAGTAAAACACATACTACACTCCGACGAACACATCACATGGAAATGGAAAACCCACTGCTTGTAGAGGAAAATCGTCTTCCAAGCGACCATGCCATCCACTTCCATGTTAGTGAGTCAGAGTGTAAGTCTAGAGGTCACCCTATTAAAAAACACACCCATAATTGTAGTCACGTGGTGGTAGGGTTCTAGAAAGAGCGATCACCTCTCCTAAAAAATAGCTCAGATTTCTCTCCTTAGTAGAAATGGGGTCGCTTTCAGTTGCAGAAACGTGCATAGTACTAGGTTCAATTCATCCACTATTTCGGGTGCCTAGCCGGTTCATTCAAAACTGAACTCTCGAGGTCGCTACACTCAGTCGAGGTCGCTACAGTCAGTTAGAAGTGACTTCCAGCTGGATGGACATCACACCCGATCACCAACGATTCCCTGGACACACAGAGATGGCAAGACAGCCATCTCTGAAGCATAGTTTCACATCTTCAGTTTCTGGTCCCACAGTTTCACCTTTCTGCAGCTCTGGCCACACAGCTCTCCGTGACGCTGAGCCATCGCCCACTGGCGCTGTAACCTAAGAAAAGCTGATCCCGGTCGGTCGAAAGGTCGAATTCGGACGGTCGAAAGGTCGATTGGATGGAACAAGCGAAGGTGGGGACTGAAACGGATCTTTCACATAAGGAAATTTATGATATTGGTTTCTTGTCTCAGGCTAGTCTAAATTTTGCATTTGCGGGTTCGAACTTTGGACGGGGGGGGAGTGTGTTGATGCCTGACCTGCCATGTTCAGGATGGCCCACCACAACCCACGATGAATAGAACGAACAGAAAAAGGTATAGAAAGATATAAAACTATATGATATGATATGATATTAATATACCAAGTTGTTCCAACTTGTGAGTATCGTCATCCATAGAACAGTGGAGCGGAGGCATCTCTGATTTAAACCACCAAGACAAAGACACGGGAACCTGTGTATGTATCCCTTCCTACAACCGCACCAGAGACATGCGTCGGCCCAGATTCGCCACTGGCCACCGCGACGAGGTGCTGTCCACATAGCAATACTCTTCATCCGCTTTGCAGAATACCGGGCACTGCATGGAAGCTTAGCGCGCGGCCGGAGTTTCGTCTTCGGTGCGTGCCCGGAACGCAGAGCCACATCCGGCTTCGAACCCCGACACTGGAGAACACACGAAAGGAGGCACGGGGAAGAGGTCTGACCGACGAGCCGAACTTCCGAGCGAAACGAACTCCACCTATACTATATAGATATATAGTTCTTGTTTAGTGGGTCTGCCCAATCCCACCAAAAAGGTTTTGCAGGTGACCCACTTGTCCTGGATAGGGGTGGAATGTTCTGCTCGGGGGTTGTGTGCGTGTGTTGTTGTTGTTGCAGGGTGGGCCTCCCACGATGAACAATGCATTCGAACAAGCCAGCCTCAAGGGGAGAGAACGATTCTGCGATGATCAGGTTTAGGCCCACTAGTTGAATGACTCTGAATTGAAGAGCATGGAACATGTTCACTTGACATCAGACACGGCTTAAAGCCTATCCAGGCGGATGGTCTGACAGCAAGCACAAATCCTCCCAACATGAAGCCAAGACACTGTTGGTGAACATATCTCGGAGCGGATAGCAGAAGTACTCATCCTGGACCGCCAAACGCCAACTAAACGCATGGCCAACATGGTCACACAACGAGGAGATGTTTTGCAACAGTCCGCGGTCGCCTCGTTTAAAACACATACGTTTCACTGCGGTCCATACGTTTCAACCCAAGCAGTTTAGTGGTTTCCCAAATCCTTGGGATCGGAGCATGTTGACCATGGTGCCATCTCTCAAGAGAGTTGATACCGTCACGTATCGTCCCCCCCCTAAGCAAGCAAATCTGCACTCCCTAAAGCTTGACATTCCTGGATTTCTTGAAGACCTGAGAGTTGATCTACTGGCAAAACAACTGACACTCATATACATATCTGCAGCCGTTGTTCTTGTTTCACCCGAGCACTATGGCTCTAAAATCAAATCTCAACACCAAACAAACTACAGTACAAACCACTACAATTGATGTAATTACAGTAGCCATTTTATATGCAGTATATATAATGTTTTGTACATGTTTGTAATGATTTATAATGTAATTACCACAGAGTCATTCAACGTTAGATATATATCCAGTTACTCTTCTGCCTACCTTCTTTTGCAGACCTTAGCCACCCATCTACGTCGACATTCTGCGACTGCGGAAACGGCAGACTCTCCGCTGCGAGGCGCCGTCTGAGGATCATGGCAGCGTTGAGCACGGAGGCCACATTTGCAGGGAGTGGACCGCTTCTCGCATGCCTGGCGGGGGTGCTCTGCTTGTCCTGGGGGTCTGGAAGGAGGTCTGGAAGCACATTTTTTGCCACAAGACGCACAGTGAGTCATGTGAATTGAAGGTGGGCATCAAAGAGACAGTCTGAAGCGTCTGCAATGAGAGTTGCAAACAAAATTGGACAGCTGAGTGAAGTGGATTAGTGTGGTAGCATTGGTTGGGAGATGAGTTTTCGCCAAGGGAATGATGTAGTAGTGGGGGGGATGATGGCACATGCGCCAAAAGGACACTTGATCAAGAGTGGTTGATAGTCTAGTTGTCATTGAGGGGTCGATTGTCTGTCAGTTTTACAGTTTTGGGAGGCTTGAGATTGGACGGTAATTCATGGTATCGTCCATTCTAGCACTGACCTAAACAAATCTGTATGTACTTCATCAACGCGACACCTTCAAAACAGGGTTCCATCAAATTCGACGTGGACACCAAAATGGTGGAATCCAAAAACAACATAAACCAGTGATGTGAAAAATATGGTGCGTCTCAACAACATTGCTGGGATTGAAGGTCTTATGATTCTTGAAACTTGTTCTGATATTTTTTCCAAAGCCAACAAACAACCAACAGAGGTTGAATAACTCTTTTTTGACCACCCCAGTTCGGTACCTCAGGTGACGGGCCAGGGTCCTATTTACGGTCACTGGCTACCTCTCTTGGAATGGACATCAAACATACCACCGCCAACTAAACACGGCGTTCCGGACCCAGACCGGGCTCCGACGCTCGCCTGTCGTTCCTTCAAAGGCACGCCAGCAGGGTCGTAGTCCTGCGTCGTGACGGGCACGACTCCCTTCCTGTGCCACCACCGAAAGCTATAGCGTGCCACCGGCTACAGTTTGGTTTCTTTTGTTAACACAAGAAATACTGCTGCAAAACCACGGGGTCGCCTTTTTCTGCGAGACCTATACTGTCAAGAGCTATACAAACTCTATTGGAAGCGAAACGTCCAATTCACTACTCTCGTCGCACCAGTCAGATTCTTGAATTCTTGATTGCTGTTGGAATTTCGAGCTCCCTGCACAACATTTTCAGGGTTTAGGCTACCTAGCCCTGATGATTCAGAAGAGGAAATTTCAATCGATTATCATTTGTTTTACATTTTTTTTGATTGTCCTTGTCTCACCTGGTGCAGGGTGTCGTTCAAAAGCACTTGGGGTCCCATCAAAGTGTCACCGAACACCCAGGCGAGAAACACTACCTAGGACGCAACTTTTTCAAGGAAACTCAAGCTTCCTTGAAGAAGCGCTCGCACTACTGATTTGGTTCCTAGATTTTTAGGGACACATAGGTTTCTTCTTCCATTTTCATCCAAATATATGTTTATCCTTCCCATGGCCCGACTTGACGACTGGCACCGAAACTCACCGGGGCACGTACATCGATGGAGGCGGAGATGGGGAACTTCCCTCGCGCCTGCAGGTAGCAAATCCGCTCGTCGGCCTTGCAGGTTAAGGGGCAGGTCATGGTCAACGGCTCGCAGAACTCCTCTGACTGCCTCATGCGGCGTGCGCGTGCGTGGTTTGGGGGAACTGAGAAAGGGCGGCCGGGCACGGGAGGTTTGTTGAGCAGATCGTTGGTTTGGAATCTGACACACCCATGAGGCTTGCCTCGCCTGTGTTCATGGCGGGAATTATTCGCTGCAAAGGCGACCATTCGTTGCCAAAGGCGACCATTTTTTGGAGTGACTCTGAATCTGAATCAATCGTCCAACCCTTCCGGCCGTACCCAACATGACCCAATGCCCAACCCTTCCAAAGTCACGAGACTCCGTCGGCTCGGGCGCGAGCGCACTCGGTGCTGGATCCACGGACGGTCCGGATGGGAGGAGACAGTGAACCCAGACTCTGAGGCTCCAAACCCATATTCATCCTCAGCTCGAATGAAAAAAAGCAGAACTTCTCTTGGATTCAATTCTTGGACCTGAAAGGACCTGATTCTTGGATTCAAAGTATGTCCTTATGCTTATGTGTTTGTTCAAGTAGGTTGAGCAAAGGACTTGCACTAGAGAACCATTGTCAACACTATCAAATGATGGTCAATATATGTTTGTGACTGAGTAGAACATGGTACAGTACAGGTTCATGCTACCTCTCATGATCTAGCAACTTGAGGTTGTGATGTCTTGAAATATGTTTTGAAACATCCTAGCAGCAGCCTGAAATCTATTTATATATATATCCTTTGCAGCCACTGTCCCTTTTTCCAGACAGCTGATTATATACAGAAAATGCTCCATTGATGGAATGGGCCACCCTATATATATATATATCCACATATCAGCACTGGCAACTTCTTGGTTCGCACCACATGATGAACAAAAACATCATGCATTAAGGCTAATAAGGCCACAGTCTAAACTCTGTACACGACCATGAGCCCTCTGACAGGAATTCTTCTATAGTTGATATTGATGTTGAAACCAATAGATGGTGGCATGACCAGGAGCAACCCCCCCAAGTTTGATCCTGATATATCTCGAACAGTTTTTGCGGCGCTGGGGGCAGGTCCCCATGTTCTTGAGATCTTTGTGCCCACATGGGGTTGGTTTAGGGGACAAGCAACAAACCAGCTTGAGGCCTCGTGACTCAAGGAAAATAGCTGAAGGACCCACAAAAACCAGTTTCAATACCAATCATGAAACATGCAAACATGGCATCACAAGCACAGTCCGAGACAGGACGCACATGAAACAGTGAAATTGCAACATGAATGGAGCTTGTAGCCAGCCCCTTGTGCCTTGGAATTGAAAGGACCTGCGAACCTGCACTGTGAATATATAGTAATACTAGCTATACATGTGCATACAACGGTATGTTCATAACACACAATAACTCCAACAAAACGTTTCTGGCTGCACATGGGCCTGCCACTGCCTGCCACTCGAACTCGCTACCGGTTAAGCGCTTGAGGATGTCCACTTCGCTCGTGCCCTCTACACTGACTCATTCCAGATCCGCAAAGGATAAGTCAGACGAATGCCGCCAACAAAGCCAACCAGGAAGCCGAAGCCAAAATCCTGGAAATAGGGAAGTCTTTTTGTAAGGGATCATGATGGATCCGTAGAGTCCACACGCTTTTTGACAAAAAGGTGATCACAAACACTCGATGTATATACCGCGCCAATTGATCGTCAAATATGGCAGACATGGAGCAAATCAACATATCAACACCTATCAACATTTTTGGGAGTCCGGCTTGCAGAAAGCCGGCAAGCCACATCAGCTACCTTGGATGTGCTGTTGAGGAAGCCGGGAGATTCACCCAGTTACGGGGGATTCACCCAGTTCGGAAGAATAAGAGTCACCCCTGAATTACACCCTCAGCAGTATATATATGAACTATTGTAAAAACCAGTCACCCCTAAGCTCCAATCACCCCCAGAAGCCCGCAGAAACTACTGTATCCAGAAAGATCCAAAAACGAGTTTCCACCCATCGGCACATCTTGGCATTGGCGCCACAAGGGCAAGGCCTCGGCCATCGAACGACTCGGCCTTGATCCATCGAACGACGGCATTTTCGAGGGGAAGGAAGTTGTGGTGGATCCATTGTGCTGAGAGAGATCTTGGGAGGGAGCTGAAGTCATGTAGACTCTTGATTCATCAAACCCCCATTTGAAGATGGTCTTACAATCCAAATGTGTCTCTTTGATCAAGAGTCTACATTACTAGCCGAAACACGATGACTGAGCCAGCTCTCAGTGCATACGAGTGCATAGGCACAAAAACGGATATCAGGCAGCTTCTCAGCATAGGAAGGAGCCATGGTATTTGAAAAGGTAGCTTTTTCAACATTGACTTTGGCACTGCTTCTAGCCTGCTTCCCTGCTTCATCCTTCACTCGTAGGGATCGATTGCACTGCTTCTAGCTGCTGTCTGAAATAACCTCCTGCTATCACAAACACTGCAAGCAGCCATGTTTGGGTCTGAATGCAAATATATCTACGACACCTTCCCCCTCCATCGTGGGGTTTGACTGTTTGACCAGGCCCCTTTAGAGGGCTCAAAAAGCAGGGATGGACCAAATCTGATCCTGAGCCCTCACATCACCTCACTCCATCATGGACATCACAAACCTCACCTCACTCCATCTCACATCATTCTGTCTGATCCTGAGCATGATCTCTTGCCAAACTCTGGCGAACTCAGGGACCCTATGGGAATGCTCCAAGGGGCGGGTTACCAGGCCCAAGCCCCAAACCGGCTTGCTCGCAGACCCGTTTTCAGGGAACCCAAGGCTCGTGGGGGGCCGACCCAAACAGACAACCCAGCCACCATAGGATGTTGTACAATCCACATGTAAGGGATAGTGAACATGAGTTCCAAAAGGTCAGGACCCACAGTTCACCCACGAAATCTTGGTTCCAATAGCCAGCCTAAAGGTTTGGGCGGTCAAGAACTACCGACCATTTGGTGTTCTTGGAATAGAAAATCACACAAAATGTCTGCCTGGTGGACAGAAAGTTCATCATGTCCAACAGGAGGGTATCATCGTTGCATCCAGTTTTTTCTTGTCAATTTTTGTCTATAGGCTATATATGTATTGCTGCTATATGGTAATCAGACTCCGGTCTGGAGTCCAAACGACAAATGACCCACTTGTAGAGATCTTCAAGATCTATCTCTATGTGAGTGTGTGTGAACAGTACTATAGTATATGCAATGCATAGATCTATCATTATTTATCAATATACATCTAACAGGTCCAAAAGCATCTGACATCTAATTGTGTTCCATTAAGGTCATGTACCCAGGGGGGTGTCCGTATAAGGTCTTACATCCAACGTGTTGCTCCAAGGCACTTGCTGGCGTTCACGCACACCTCCTGGATGGTGGCCCCATAGTCTGGCTCACCTCGTGAGGGTGTCCATGTGAGCGAACGTTGATGACCGGCGTTGATGACGGGTGCACGTATGGCAATATATATATATATTCTAATACACATGCATATGCACACACCTATATGATGTACATATTAGATACTGTATATGTACTATATCATATACTATTATCATACTATATCAGGTAAACAAAAAAGTAATCAAATAGATACCTGTTTGGTAGAAGTTTCTGCCAAGCCACCACTGACTGTGAAGGCCATCGGCCAGCAGGTCTTCTCGTTCACCGGATCGCAGTAGACCGGGCAGGGTTCGCTGGACTCGGCCCAGTTCGGCGCGAAGACGGCGTGGTGAATGGGCGATGTTTCAATTGGTGGTACTAAGTGGTTGGTTGGTTGGACTGGGTGTCTGATCAAGAAAAACAGTTGTGCTGATGGAGTTCAGTTCGTTCAGGGTGATAAGGCGGGTGGCGGGATTCTTCACTGCACAGTCCGAAAGATTCCACCAGACATCCAAGCCGGATTGGTAGAAAAAACCACGGGCCATGTCGGCCCCGGGATCCAACCTGGTCCAACCGCTCAAGCCTGAGGTCCCATGTTCCAGTAGACCATGAGTGCAGGGGGGGGTGCAAGCATGCCCGAAATACAGCAAACTCGCACCAAGACGCGTGCGGCCGTCCCGGATTGTCCCGGATGCATGGACGTGACAGTCGATCCACAAAAAAACACTCCCAATCCAATATCATTCGATCACAGTGACTTTAGATTGTTGGTTCTCCAGCCCTAATAGGGATCCAGTCATACCTTCGAAACGAAGGGTGAGGCCGGCCGTTCGACACTGTGATGAGACGGTGCCAGCCAGTCGCAGAGGTACTTGACTTATCCCTATGGGAGTATACCCAGCTGAGCTGCAACCACCCCAGCTTCTCAGAAGGGAGGGACTGAGGCACCCACAGGAACCCACTCGGGCCCCCAGTCCCACCGAACCGAAACGGAAGGTGGGCCAGGAGCCTATAGGGATAGTAATTTGGTTTCCTATAGGTTTCGATATAGGTTAATTCTATAGGTGCTTCCATCCAGGATAGTATACCCTAGGTTTCTATATACCCTAAGAATCCTTGGGCTCTCCATGGCAGGGGTCGGACCCTCCATAGCAGGGGTCCGGGCCCTCAAAACCCTATGTGTTTGAGGGTCCGGATTCTTAGGGTAGATGTCTTTCCACCTGTGGTGCCACCCAGCTGCTGGTTGGCACCAACCGTCCTCGCGCACCGAAACCACCGAAACGACGGCTCGAGGTGGAGCCGACGCTATGCCATGATGGGGTCGTCTGGGCTGAAAAAAGAATTGGGATGGAAACTGAGCTTAAGTTTATAATATGAAGTGATGATTGAAAACATAAAACATAACTTGAATCTAAATATATATGTATATATATTTATAGTTACTTAAATCTATATAAATGACCCATTGGAACGACCCTTCTGTATAGCAGCCTAGAAATGCACCTGTATTCGTCCCTGCAAGTCGATTTTGTGGAGTCTTCAGTCAGAACGTCCAAAGAAATTAACCACTGGCATACGTACGTGTGTACATGTGTGTGTGTGACATGCAGTGACTGCATGGGATGAGAAGGGTTATGTTGCTTGTCGGTTCACTGGGATAGCTAGTTCGGACCTCGGACTTAACACAAGAAACATTATGTTCAGCAGCAGCACAGAATCGGGCATCATGCCGCATGTGACCCCATTTTCTTCCATCCTCACCCCAGCCCTACCCAGTACAGTGTCATCTGGCCAAATGGCCGCCAATATGGCCCACCTTCCTTACCACGTCACTGGTCATCGCCACGTTTTCTCACTCGGTCCTCACCAAAGCTGCACTTCTTGGCGCCTGTGCCGCACGGGCACGTCTCACCAGCGTTCACGCCTGAATGGCGTGTCGCACGTCCGTCTCGGTCTCAGCACGAGCTCCAACGATCTGAGTCGGTGCGAAGGACTTGATGTGCGAAGGAGATGGTTAGACTAGACTAGAGGGACCCGGCCATCTATAGAGTATACCTAGGGGGTATGCCTCGTGTGGCTCATTCATGTATAAACCCTTCGAAGCTAAGCAAAGACCTGCACTCCTGCGCTCAGGCCCCGAGTGAAACGCCCATCGTCCGGGCATGATGGTTTCAACCCACCTGTAGACCGAGAGGATTCGAGGGCTGGAGCCGCCGTTGAGGCAGCGTCCAACTCTGGCAGGTTGTTTGGGAGGCTCCGAATGAAGGGTGAAACAAGTCGGAGGATGCTGGTGCAGCTTCTCCCCCTTTCTGAAACATGTGAACATTCCTTTAGTCCGGCCCAAGTGGCACTGCTCAGAGGAGCCCGTCCACATGCCCGAGCTGTCGTAGTTCTCCTAAGGCCACGGAGAGCGGAAGAAAGACGACGTGCGGAAGCAGAATTTCACAGACTGTATTGTGCCAAAAGAAACACCAAATGGATCGATACACCTATAGATACCTATAGCTGAGGGATCATTGTGAAGGGATGAGCTCAACAAAAATCCTGACAGTATCTCAGAACTGTTATTAGTTGGGCATCAAAAAACTGTCACCACCTAATTTGTGGTGTCTACCCGGACCAAAACAAGTCATCACGCACAGACAGTACTCCATCCCCAATCGTTCTGAGGGTCCACCCAGCAGTACTGCTGCGCATCGGTGCACACCACTGGGCAGGAGAAGTCCTTGAAGACCTCGGATGCTTTTGTTTCGGAAGGCCAGGGAAAAGAACAAAAACAAAACACATAACACAGCAATTCTTTCCCAGATTAGGCCAAAAGTTCACCCAACAAATACCAAACACAAAATTCAAAAGCATCGTCTCCCAAAAACACGCCGTCTCCCAAGAGACGCAGTCGCTCTCCGTCTCGGAGATACCACACCTGCGCGAAGAGGCGAAGGACGCCCGGCGGAAGTGAGAACGGTTCACTGCCGTCACTGTTGGAACCGCTTCCTCAATCCAGTGGTCGTTCTGAACGAATACAGGGCAAGTGTGAAGGTTCAAGTGATGCACATTTACCTCTTTGACCGATTTAGATTGGGAATGTATATGGTATATAGTATATACTATGTACTCTGAAGATCTCCGAATTCACTGTGCCTTCATGAGGTTAAAAATGTGTGTCCTTTCGCCCATGTCTATATTGTGGTGATTTACAGCAAAAAACCGTCAACGTGAAACTGGAAGCCTTGCAGCACCCTAAAGCACCAAACACGGTAGGAACCCTCAACAAAACATTGCTAAAGAAACGAAAGTGTCATGCACCATCTATATACAACGAAAGAAATTCAACGTTCTGTCAAGGACAAGCAGTCAAACAGTCGTCCAAAGGGGTTCATGGAGGCTACGCACTTCTAGGAAACCTACAAAGGCACATTCGATCAACTCCACATCATGTGAAGGATGCATGGTCAAGCCTGACGCGTGACCCCTATTAAATAGGCAGCTTGATGAGATCATATGTGAGGGTGGCCAGTTTCCGCGACAAAAATGAAAAGCCTTTCCACGACAAGGAACTGTGAAATCGCGAAAAAGAAAAGGCGATTTCACGACTAAGGTGAACCGTTCAACTCGACCCAATCCAAGACACCTAAACAGTTTAAACCCCCAAACTGTTCCTCGTCCATCAAAACACGGATTTGCTTCTGATCCGTCTCCCTCACAACTGTTAAGAGGTAGCTGACACCATTCATGAGGTGGTACGTCGAAAGCATCCCTTTGCCATCTTCCGGATTCTTCGTGTTTTTTGGACAAAGCTGGTTTTTGCACAAGCCTAGTCCGTGTGGTGCTAGATAGCAAGTCTGGAGCCTGAATTGCTTTTTGACAAAGCTGCAGTGTCTGCTATGTGTCTTGTGCCAGAAAGCAAGTCTGGAGCCTGACGCTGTCTGATGGACAAAGCTGGTGTGTCTGGTGCTAGAAAGCAGTTCTGTATCACGCAACTGTTTTTTGGACAAGGCTGGTGTGTGTGTGTGGCGCTAAGAAGCAGTTTGTACTCTAAAGCTGTCTTTTTGGCCAAAGCTGGTGTGTGTATGGGGTGCTAGAAAGCAGTGACCAAGCTGGTGCGTGTACACCTTGGATTCATAGGTAACCTTGTGGCTTTTCTTCTTGGTTGGATTATGCAGGAGAGTGCGGCATGACTGTGGGACCGCACTCAACGAAGCTACCACAATCATGGGATACCGAGTCTGATCAACTCGGTGTACCTGCTGCTGTACTTTCACTTCTTCATGGTCCCTGTTAACATGTTTGTCACTAGTACAATCTCGCCAGCCATTGCATCGGTTGGTACTCTGCAGTCACGCTTGGTTTGGAGTTTGAGACTTTCGAGCCTCTGAGTTAAAGCTTGCAATGCAGCCTCTCAGCGTAAACAAAAACACACTTTCTGGTAAGCAAACTGGTTTCCAGGTGTCCCCAAGACATGATGTGCATCTGCACGCTCGTCGAGATGCCACTCAATTCTTGTCAAAGTCAAATTATCCTTGTCGTTGTCAATACTTGACAATCGTGGCGGCAAGGAGACCCACGGTAGAACATATCGGTGACCGCCCAATGTACCCGGCAAAAGCACGTCCAATGAACCCTGCAGCTGAGCCGAGTGCAAGTGACATGTGCAAACTTGTTTGACATCCCCTTGTGGGCACACTAGACCATCCCTCATGTGGAAAATGGCAGCGAAACACAAATGCAACGGTGCCTCTTTCCAGTCGCTGAATCACACTGCACTGGGCATTCTCCGGTGTGGCAGTAGTCGGCATAGATCCTTGCGGCAAATCAACAAACACTTTTGAGATGCAAGGGCCGTCTAAACGATTCTAAACGGCTCAAGGACTGTATGTTGATGTGTCTTGCAATAACATGCATAGTAGTTATTGCAACTTCTATAAAGACAGTTGATCAAAACCAGCCAGTGGCAATGAGAAGGCGAGGTGAAGAAAACCAAAGAAGAAGACCAAGGGACCAGCAGCACGCGAACCAGCAAACCTAGAGGCCAGCGGACTAGGAGACCTGAGGACCATCAAACTAGGGCATGTGTGCTTGCTTCTGTTCTGTACTTTCGTCTGTCTGATTCTGTTCTATTGGTCTCTTGAATCCCGTTCTATTTTTATCTACATGCCAACCAGTGGATCCAAATTTGGAAGGCACTCCGACTAGAAGACAGGAACCCTCAAATTCCAATGAGCAAGGATTGTAGGGACATGGGCAATGCACTGGCCGATTTAAGATACAAACGAGCGAGGGTGTCTTTTGCATGCTCTCAGATAGTCAGGGCAGCAAACGATTACGTCGATATCTATCAAACAAAATGATGAAAGTGGTCGGTCAACAAAGTAATGTTCCGCAATGTTCCTTCAATGCGTACACTTACCGTTACCCGGAAAACTAAAACGCACTCAAAACACATGAGACAACAATTCCAAGCTAGATTTGCATGGTGGACATTCTTGTTGCCCATATAAGAGAAACCATGAGAACCCCCACAAGAATTCACATAAAAAACGTCCGGGTGATCCCTACTGACCCTCTACTCTTCCGGTGGCTTTTGGATGCGAGGCTCGGGAATCCACTGGTGTCGAAGCTGATGGTGCTACAAATGCCTGCGCCGGCGTGTGGTCCAAAACACGCATGGTCGGGCGAGTCGGGTGCAGGTACCAGACGGTTTTTTGAGCTGGTGATGGAACCAATGCAGTTCCTCTCGCGTCGGTGCCTCCAACCATTCAGGTGATGTTATGACTGTAGGTGGTTGATGCATCAAACTGTCCATGCTCGCGATGTCATTACTGTAAAGCCATGTTGGTCGATTGTTTCAGTCAATTTAATCTACAATTACGGCGGTACAATTTCCAAATGGTAAAATCCCTTACTGTAAGATCCCAGCTCCGATCGTGACGAAAGGTTTGAGAGGCTAAACGGCTAAGCGGCTAAACGTGAGTAAAACAGCCCACCAACCTCTACTCAGGTCCTGTTTGCTCTACAAGTATGAACATATAACTTCAGGAGGACAAAAGCTTGGTAACAAGTTCACTCGAGAATGTCATTGACATCACTTTTCTTTCTCAATGGAACTCTGGCGGACTAGTTTCCACCCGGAACTTAGTTATATTAATACGATAAATAACTATAAAATATCTATAAATGGTTATAAATGTAATTTGAGGTGGAAACCAATCCGCCGGCATTCTACTGTGACTGTGATCCCCTGTAGGATTCTAAGGGGAACGGGTTGTAGGTGATGTACACATAAGTTTGTTACCTACTTTTGTCCCTGTGCATGTTTGACAAATGAAAAACCCTATCATTTACCCTGTTCCCAGCTACAGGAATGCCTTTGCAGTCGACATCGCTCCAAACATGACGTCTTTTGATCGGTGAATACAGCTGTTGCTAGCACTATAGAAGCTTGATGCTTACGGACGCATCGGTTCCAGCTGTGCGAAACATCGCATTGGTCCGCTCCAGCGGCCGTTCGGTACGCTTCTGGGCCTTGCGTCTCGCTGCACATCAATGGGCACTCTGTATAGAAGTCCTCTCGGACGAGGCTTCGTCGACCGGTCGCTTTCCCCCCGACCGGTCGCTTTCGATCGATGGTGAAGTGAACAACAACTCCACCGGGTTGGATTGGAGGGGAGAAACTCCGCACTTCCGCACCCCAAGTTTGAAGAAAAAACAGAGAGGCCCCAAACAGTCAGGTTTTAAAGCTGGGAGACTTGAAGCCTCAAGTATGCTTGCTCCGATCATGAAGACGTCTCAGAAATTGGGGCAGACCCGCTCGATCCGCGGTCGACCGTTGCGCTTCGAACGGGAAAAAGCGGCGCAGGACACGCGGTCCTTGGGCAAACACTCCGAGAGGCCGGTGTCCTGGAGCGTTTCACTCGGAGGCTCGGTCGACAGGAAGGACACAGGTCGGCCGCCAGAGGCTGAGGTCGTGTCCGACGTCGTGTCGTGTCGTGACTGAGTGCCTTTTTCGGCACAGATGAGATTGTTTTGGGCAGATGCCACATCATTTGGGAGGACGGGAAAGTGAGAAAGATTAAACAATGGCAGGGGTATTTGACATGCTTTGACTGGTTTGGATTTCTTTCCTCAAGATATCCGCCGACCCCGGCCTATAGCCAAAGCCTAGGCGGGGAGGCGCCTGGGACACCGCAGGGTGAAGCAGTTGGCCAAGCCTAGCAGAACCCTTCCAAGCACTTCCAAAGGCCTGTCCGAGGCCTCGCCAGCTGGCAGGCCTGCTGCGGCCTCTCTGTGGCCTGTCCAAGGCCTGCCTCCTCTCTCGGCAGCTGGCAGGCCTGTTGCGGCCTCTCTGTGGCCTGTCCGAAGCCTGCCTCCTCTCTTCTTATGGGCTTCCGAAGGCGACGTTAGGCATTTTGGACCGCCTTCAAACGCTCCTCGGCAGCTGGCAGGCCTGTTGCGGCCTCTCTGTGGCCTGTCCGAAGCCTGCCTCCTCTCTTCTTATGGGCTTCCGAAGGCGACGTGAGGCATTTTGGACCGCCGCAGCACAAGCCTTGCTGGCTCAGCACCTGGGCTGTCCAACAAGGCCCCCGCAAACAGCCGCCAGTCTATTAGCACAGCCAGAACAGAGGCATTGCTACTATGCTTCTTGCTGCCTGTTGCTAGTGGTTTTTCTGATCTTGTGATGCTTCTGGGTCTTCTTCTTAGTGCTGCTGTGATTGCTGTTGTTGGTGTATACCTTTGTGGGCTTTAGCGCAGGCCACAGCTAGCCTGTCCGAGGCCACGCAGCCTTGGCATGGCCT